CTGGGGAAGCCTACATGGATGAAGTTGACCCTTGGTTCGGCTCAGGAGGCCTGAATATTTATCATGCTTTCACTCGCGCTGGTCATCAAACGGTCATACGACACAAGAGCTGAAGTGTATTGACCACGGTTGGTGAGAAAAGCCCATTGAGAAGCATCCTACCTGTGAAAACCGAAAACCATGGGCTGATGCTTCAGCAGACGGCTGACACAATAGGAGGGGGCGTATCCATGAAGTTCAACGGCGGCAGTGCAAAGCAGCTAAGATGGGAAAAGCAACAGCTGTGATGATCGGCTGGTTCTCTTGTGCATGCAAATAGATTGTTGGCTGTGAAATTCGGGTGCCTGGAGCTCCTAGCCAGAGTACTACAGACATAGTACACACGTCTTCAGACACCATCAACAAGAGCTTCCGGAGTAGCGAAAGAAGTCCTATAAAACTGCAGCAGCAGCAAGTGGCAATTTTAGTTCCTGCTAACGCTGCCACTACTGTACACAGATGTGACTAATTCTGGACTACCACCTTGACTCACTAATGAGTACGAAATCCATTCACGGAGAAACGTGATAGTGACTTCCTCTGAAATTGGATGGGCAGGAGCAACTTTCACTGGTATACAAGACTCAACTGTCAGACAGCACCCGAGCATTTCACCTTATGAGACGAACATCCGAATGTAAGTAGGGAAATTTTAGGCTTTTCGCACGCTTAATGGTGAGGCAGTGATATCTCCGCTCTCGCCATGCTCCAGACGTTGAACCCAGACCACACTCTGGTGACCATCAGATAAAAGTGACACCGATTAGAAAAATGAGGATGTGTACCCACTCAAAAGAGACAAAGAATACAAGTGGGGAGGTGCAGTGGCAATGTTTGAGCGACCAGTTGGGAAGTGAAGACCTACTGACACCATGCTGAGAGAGTCCCAAGATTAAATCACGTACAACAAGACGTCAGAAGTGAGTAACAAGTGTGGAAGTCTCTCGACGTTACAAGCATACAGGAAAGGTGTCAACAAAAACTAAAGCAATATACAGTCTCGACTAAAGACTACGATATCACAATCAGTCACACATGCACTAGTTCGGACAACTTCAAAAGCTACCCAGAAGTGAGGCATGTGTGATCTGGTAGCATGCTGCGGATGCTGCAACTCAAGCCTTTGTGGTTGGTCCGAACAGCCAAACCTACCATACAGTTGCCCTTCTGAAGGGTGATGATTGTGGCCAGGCGAGGGTTGTACGTTCAACCGAAAATTTGCTGCAAAACTGTTGGTTTTGGAGTTGAAAGCTGCAGATGAGTGGTCGCGTGCGTGGCGGTGATAAATGAAGCCGAATAGAGACGAGGTAAAAAGCGCCAGTACGCAAGGGGTGCGGCGTTATATCTCAGAGTGGGGTGGAGCAACTTCAGGTCGTGCTTTCAGGCTTAGTTTGCTAAACGCCATCAAAAGGGCTGTACCATATCCAAAACCGGCGGCGGCACTCACTGGGGTTGGACGTAGGGCCATCCAAGCCGGGGCACCTTCTGACCATTGGCCGTCTGCTAGAAGGAGGTGCTCAGGTCCAAACTCTTCTCGGTTGCAGAGGTCACCGTATGGTGGTGCCTGATCTGGTGGTCAGTGAACAACTATCATGGGAGTGATGCTGTCCTTGTCTTTGCTACAAAAGGGAAAATGCCGTGAAGATGAATGGATGTCTGTCGACACCCTTTGACCTCAGGAGTGGAGTTCCCTATCGACTGGCCACCACTGCAAACCAGTGCGCAACTGCTGAAGGAGGTGACCCCGTCTTTTGTAGTACTTAACCGTGCCATCTCGGGTTTTTCCAGTCTTGATGAGGGGAAATGGAGGCTTTTGAGGCTTCAGGTTGCTGTGCAGTGACTTGAACAGCCGAACGAGGTCACAACTTCAATGTGTTTTGTAATAGGAGGAAATAATTTTGCCTCAGTTTTTCCGCGAGGATTTGCTAACCATCCCTGAAATGGTTTGTGCAGCGCTTTTCGAACTACTTGAAGTGGACAACAGTCACCCGATTCAAACACAAGTGAGGCCAGTTTTTACTCGTGGACACATTAGTTGTGGCACTCTAGCTCATTTTGCGTATTATCTAAGGGTTTCTCAAGCTCAATGCTGCAAGTTATCTGTGTAGTGTGGACGCAGTACACTAGTTAAAACATCTTGGGTTATGAAGGTCATTAGAGGAGTTCTGTCACTGATATGCGCAATCCCAAATGTAGCCCCTAAATCTACGCTACCCTCTAACCTCACCCGAAAGGTGGCAGAGTTTTCTACAGTCGGATCAACTAGCTGTCAAGACTCGTTTGAAATTTTGTGTACCGTTACCCCCGTCCAATTTCCCGAAGATCGAGGAAGTAACAGCATAGAAGAATATCAAAACAACTCACTGGAATCAACAGCCTTGGCTCAAAACATATTCAACATTGACGCAGGTCATCATATTGGAGCGTTCATTAGGCTGAAGACTGATGGTCAGGCATTAGGGCCATCTGCCACGTTGTTGTTAAGTCACTGTAATCATTCCCAGTCTTCTGATGAGGAAACCCATACGTCTCGATATGCTGGCATGACTCAAGAAGCATGTGATTAATACTTGTTCATCCCATTGAAGTGTTTTTCACTTGTATTCACGAGTGTCAGGTTGACGCCCATATATTTTTGCAATGCTCTTTATACCTCGGCGTACTTGATAATTTTCCCTAAATTCGCCATGTGGCATGGAAATTTAATCCACTTATTTCACTTTCGGCTCCCCAGCAGCTCCTCCTTTTTCCTGTGCTGCGATTCTCTGTTCTCACGTGTCATACCCTACCCGATCAATATTCTGTAGCGTTCGAATTCATGTTCACTTATTTTTCGTGGAATTGATATAGGTTTTTACACTGCTTTACGTCGCGTTCATATCTTCAGCATAGAATGTATTGGCATCAGTTTGTTGGCTCATGTTGTGGACTGTCTAGTCAGTAGGGTTTTCCGCCCATTCATCAACAAGTTTGCATACCCGGGAGATGATCACTGTCTGGGGGCATCACGGGGCGCGATTGCACACTATCGCGTTTTGAGCACTTTGTTTCCCAAATACCATACTCTGCTTTCACCCTACGGCGTTATGTATTGAACAGCTGTGGCATCCGGTAACAATTGGATCGGACTTTCTGTTCTCCTCAGACAGATTCAAACGCAGCTGATTAATGCTGGGCATGCACGTAATTTGGAAAACTGCGAAAACTTTTTAATTACCCGTCTTTTAGAAACATCCTACTCACTCTCTGTATACGTGACCTTTCTTGCTCTACCACTGTAGAATACCTTAGACTAGTGCTATCCGACGAAACATGAAATCGTTTCAGTTATTCAAGTGCACCTACGCAGTCCATACATTGATGCGCTCCGTGCTCAGACAACTATATTACCTTAGCTTAGAACTCGTCCTGAAGCCTTACGAGACCGGCATGCAACTTCACATAGATGTTCAAAATATCACTTCACTATCGTACCTGGAGACAGATGCAACTTCGCTGAAGAAAGTCTAGGGGCTACAGTTTGCGGAAACTCGGAAAAAGCCTCACGAGCATAGGTTAAAGTATATAGTTCCATACTGTCATAGTTGCCTTAGGTTAGATGGTGAATCGATAACAGTCCCTACGATACTTAGTAATCCAAGTCAGACCAACAACTTAATTTTGTCTAACGTCCCCATAAAAATTCTAGTGGAAACTGAGAGGGAATGGCCAACGAAACCCTTTCGTGTTCACACTTTCTCGCTTCGAGTTTACAGCCATGATAACAGATTACCTGCCAAGGCAGTCAAATCTCTATCTTTCGATGGCCTTGTAGGGGTGCGTGTTACAATTCTGTAACGTCCGATCAACCCTACTTAACTCCATGTGCTCAAGTACCTACTTAACCAGTACTTTACCTAACGTGTAAGTACCGATAACAAAACACAAGTCCAAAGAACTGATACGCAATGTATTTGAAGGAGCCATGTATTTAATTAAGGTAAATGTAATAATAATGAATGGAGGAAAAGTTTAATCAACTTATCCGGCTTGTAAGGCTGAACTAGGGACTCGGAGTACGTGCGTGGTAATCAGAACAATGGAGCGCAAAATGGCGTCCAAGCCTGCCCGGATGCATGCTCGTTAAAACAAGACCTAAAACACCCTAAGTGTCCGGCGGCAAGCTAGAGATTTATTTAGTTAATTTATTTTAAGCTATTTATTTTATCCGTAGTTGTATTTTGGTGCCAGGAAGGTGCACTACAGCCTCAAGGATACTTTGGACAGCTACGCAGTAACACATTGCCTGAGCTCATTGATTTGAGACACGTACTTAGCCAAACAATTGAGCTGATTTCTCATTGCCAGAACACAGCGTCCTTCTTACCGATACCATCGTATTGCCACTGTTATCGTGAACTTGTCCCAACTTTTTACTTCCTTATTAGACGTCATAACTCTCCAGTTATCATACCACTAATATCAGTTTCTCTACTCGTATTGTCCCTAACTTTACCATCCCCGCTTCTTCTCGTACTCCAACACTTTACATTATTTTGCCCCACTCACTGAACTTCTCCAATTAACAGTATTCTTTTCCGTCTTCCTGGAAGTGACCTAAGTTTCCGTCTTCTATTTAGCTTTCCTTACGTATTTTCCTCATATTCTCTCCTTAGTAATCTTTCTTTCATCTCAACGTTCCTTGAATAATCAGTTCAAACAATTGTCTGGTGATACGACACTCGAGGATCCTATCTTCACAGCAGCTCGAGCGCAAATCATGCACCTCCCAACAAATTTAATTGCACTCAGTCATCCGCCAGGTGTACTTGAGTTGTGGAAAGTGATTGGCTGTAACTACTGCACTGTAACCTATCAATTGCTTGAAAGTGTTCCGTGAGTCTAAAAGATAGGCGCGAAGAAATCGGCTGGATAGTGTGTGCCTGTGAGCAAGATATTGGATGTTGGACAAGGTCATTTCATGGCCTTCAGTTTTCTTGACACTTAGCGCTACAGCATGAGTTCATTCAAGTAAGTTCTTGCGATGATCGCTCTTTGTTCATCACTGTTGCAAAAATCCAAGTTGACCTGACATTTGGCCGTCTATACGACTCAACTGTAACAATTTTGCACTTTTATCTTCAAAAAGAACCTAGTCTAGATACCAAGAAGCGAGAGCTCAAAAACTACAGGTTCCCTCTACTCGCACTGATGTTAGATGTTGAATCTATTTGTTCTGTTGTTACCAAGCCTGCCTGGTCAACGTCTGTGTTGGGCCGATTGAAGAAATCTCGGGACAGTCACTATAGAAAACATTGGCCAGGAGTGTAATTGTGCAATACTTTTCCTACGTCTGACCCTGTTTTTTTCGCTTTACACTTGACCCCATGTTTGGCATATTTGGCCCAACGTCTTGCCCTGAGTTTTGATGTGGTTTGGCTAAAGCATTAGCCCGTCTTGTTTCATGCACTACATGTGAGGCCAAACGTCAGGCCACTGGGGCAGGAGTAGGAGTAAAAATATATACATGGCGCAGATATTGAGCCATTTGTAAAAGTGTAGTGACACGCAAATCCCGATCTGCTTAACCTTGGGCTAAATGTAGGGTCAAAATACCGGGTAAGAATTCGGGACAATGTTGCAAAACCCTACATCATGTTCTACATTTGACCTGATATTTTCTATAGAGAGTGGCCTGATGAAATGTTGACTAAGAAGACAACTTCCTATGTAGCAGGTTAATCTCTTCGCAAAGTACGAATTTAAATTTGAGTGAAATTGTTTTTTTCTGTGTGTATCATGTTACAGTCTGTTGAAGGACTAACGTTAATTGGGGTTAACTCTGAAGATCAAAACGTTGTCTATGGATTGGCTAACTTACGGTTTGGTAATTGATACACATGTCGTACTAAAACTTCACGTCATGTTTTCTGTGGAGATCTCTTCACTGAAAAGTTGATAGCGTTTAGTAATATACTGGAAGCCCACAGGAATTGGTAAGCCCCAAGTAAAGATGTAATGGGCAACGTATCTACTCTGTACAGTTCAATTTTAAGTTAGGACATTCGATGCTACGTTGTCAGCTAAATTGAGTAAGCGAAGTTGGATTCTAGTGCAGAACCCGTTGTTTTAAAGCTGAGCGTTCAAGTTAATGAACCACCAACGTAAACAGATACAGGACTGTATCAGTACCTCTTGCAGTGAAACACGTATGTGTATTAGGCAGTTACTGATTTTATATCTTAATTTCTCACAAAATAATTAGTGAGGATTACTTAATTCATGCGAGCTATACGCTTTATTAAAGAAACAGTGTATTTGTATAGTTGTATAAAGGGATCTAAATAAAGTTGAATATGTCATATGAATCATCGGTAGTGAGCTCCAGGAATATCCTCTGACTGTAGCTCACTGGTAATCTGGTCTTCAGCTGCATCCAGATGCTTTGTGTTTTCAAATCAAAACCTATCACTTGCTTTAAAGTAGTTGTGACTTCTGATCTGTAATGAAGTCCGTGAATCATAATCTGAGCCGAGTGGGGAGATGTAGACTGCCTGACTGGCATTACTAAAATGACAGGAATCAGTGGTTAAGAACTCTTGGTGACTCTGGCATCTTCTAAAGCTTGAATATTCGCACTAACTTTTATCTTCAGATTACCTACTCTCTCACACAACTTTGTATACTTTGATACCACTTTTCCTATGCGCCTATTTTTTGTAAACCGCTGTGCAGTGTGGCAACTTGAACTGATGTGCGTATGTGAGAAACTCTACATTGACTCTGTCCTGAGCTGTAATCTATTGTCTCACTGGACAAATTACTGCAACACCTGGACCTGTTAGTGCTGATACGATCACTTTTGTTGAGTTGGACAGATATTCTTCCACTGTGACACTTGTTTATTTTTATGTCTTTCGGTGCCGAAATGAAGAACCTGCCAACTTGCGATTTCACATGCTTTTGAATGCATTAATCTAAGTAGTCGGTTGAGCAACCAGTGATAAAATCTCGATATATGCACTTTTTACCAGAGTTTCTCAATATTTAATGTGCAGTAACTGATAAAATGTAGCCGTATTTGTGCTTGCCTTGGTTTTGTATTCGTAATACATGAATAGACAAGAACAAAGTTCTGTATCATCACTGCCACCGCAGGACAACGAAATGTATGCAGGTTCAGGTGTGATTTTATTAGTTGGAAATGTAGTTCGTTTGACACTACTTAATTGTTTCACTGAGAGAATTGGCTACCTTTTCCTAGGCCATGGTTGTTGCGACCAATATTTGGAATACTATACGATCAAATCTTGATCATAGTTTATATAAATGACAATAATACTTATGAAATATGACAGGGACCCACTTCAGAAGACAAATAAGACGGACGAAGATTATCTTGATTCATACTTTGTGATGCTAAACTATTTAAACTAAATATTCTTTCAGTGGACGTGTATCTTCTAAAAGTTCAATTACCTTTGGTAAGGAAAAACTTATAGTGTTGGTCAGTTCAGTGTCAAGATTTTCATGAGTGAAACGAAACCCACTCAATCACCTTGTGCACACCTGTGCAGTGCGCAATAAGCCACACCAATTGTGTGAGGGCTAGTGATATTACCTGGCTGCGCGAACCTCGGTAGACGCAGCGGGGTTCGAACCCATGACTTAGTGTCTGAGTCACCTCCCTAAAACACAGCCACAATTCCCAAAATTTTCATACAGACATTCTGTCTTCGAATCAGTTTTTCCGAACACTGAGGAATCAACGACTAGCAAATCTGCTGCAAGTTTGATAGTCTGACTTAAAATAACGGTAAGTAGAGTTTGGCCAGACATGGGTAGAAATCCTAATTTCTTTAATTATTACAAATGACCATGCAACAATATTTTTGACGACGACAGAATTATAATTAGTTTCAGTATTATGGAATTATATTAGATCTAACGTCCCGTTATTTTAAAATTCTGTGTTGTGAACATTCATGTTTACAGCGTGAATTCAATAGACTGGAGAAAAAGTCTAGGTTTTTACACCTTATGCTAAATACTACAAACGATCCATACATATTATAGTTCTGATTATTCCAAAAGTTTATAACAGGTACATAAGATGTTTTGACTTTAATAATTTTTCAGCTACGAGAGCGCTCTTTCCACACCAGCATCAGACGGAGTGGATAAAGAGTTACAAACTTTTATTCAGACTATCCAACAAAGGGCTGAGTTCCAAAGTCATGTGAATCATCTGGCTTCAGTGTGTTGGGACAAGTGTGTTAGTGGATATCCATCGTCAAAAATGGATGCTAAAAAGTCTAATTGCTTAGAGAATTGTACTGAACGCTATCTTGATGTTTCTATGCTTCTCCGTACCAAATTTCAATCTATGTTGTCAAATCTACAGCAGTAGTTCACTCTGTCACATTGAAAACGGACAAACCTTTGCTCTTGCGGACGTTTATCCTATACATAAGAAGCCGAAGACAACTTTATTTTGTATTTTTAGCAACGTCGCTTGTGCAGTTCGTTTGGTGCTGTATGTGACGTATTTTTGCTTATGTACGACTCCAATTGTTGGTTTTACAATTCTAGGTCTTTTTAACTGTAAAATTTAAGTTGTGAAGTGAGAAATATCATTTTTTGATTTACGAATGTTCTGATTTTGATAATTTAGTGAATAAATACAACTGTCAATCGAAGTTTGTGGATTCGTCATCAACACATCGAATGCAGGTCAACGAGATGCGTGGGGGAGAGAGCTAATATGTAGAAAGTAGCAGTGAAAAGATCTTAGAAAGGAATCCATAAAAGCGTGTTTCGAAGCCAAACTTCGTACAGCAGCAGTACCAAGAAACACTATATCCCTTGAAGTCTTCAGCTGTCTTTTTGACTTGGGTACTAGCTTGAAAGCCTTTATTTTCCTGTGTGGTTCTGAACAACGGAGACGTCATAGGTTGGCACCATTTTAATTTGACTACTGATAGCTTTATTCAAACCTAATTTTACTTCAGCTAACATGAAGTGTAGAGGTTGAGGCTAGCTTGTCATATACAACGAATATTCAAGTAAATTTATTCGATAAAAATTGACAAGCTTATCAACCTCTTTTACTCTTTCTCCTAAAACTACGCATAACCTCTCACATGGTGGTCCCAACACACGGAGCTGTGTTAGGCATAATGACTAGTATGCGCTCAAATGTTACACGGTACTAATTAGTTTTACTTAAATATTAATTATAGACCTGTGGCTCATTGATCTAAACACTAATTTCAACCATTGGGTCACGGGTTTGAAGACCGCTCCACCAAACAATTTTTTAGACACTCATCGACATTCACACAGGTGTGGCCTGCTGTTTATTTCACAAACCTGCAATTAGTTAAGCTACTTCCTCGATCAACAGCTACTACTTTAACGTGGTGGTCAGGCTTACATATCGCAAGGAACCAGTCATCTCCACTGGGGGAAACATTTGTTCTCTGAGGTCCTACCATACTAGAAAGGTCTATTGGTTAGTGATAAAACAAAAATTAGTTAGCATCATAATGAAAAAGACTACGTTGTGATAAAAGTCCAAGGTCGTACGGCTGGCCAGACGGGCTGTCGCAGAATTAAGATTTTTTCTGCGGATGACTAGGACTACCATACTGCCCAAAAAGTAGTGCACTCCTCCCTACCGTGCAGTATTCCGGCGGCATAGGTTATTCTTTTTTAGGACTAACGCAATCAAATCTCAATCCATTGTTATCCCTCAACCGACAACTGATACTTCGAAGTGATGGTTGGGGTTGCAAATCACAATGACCCGACGAAATACCGTACCAGAAAGGATTGTTGGACAGACGCTATGATTGGCATCCAAGAGCAAAGTACCGCTGGCTAGGGTATAGATAGCAAAGCGCTTCCCCTGGATGACCGGAAGTGCCACACTGACGCCTCCTTCCCTATGAGAAATAGGGCTAGGAAACGTCGGATCTACATATAACACACTCGCTTCTACCCCGTGGCAAACCGGTGCTGGCGGTGTGGTTTAGTGGTCAGATTCTCCAAAAATAAACAAAAATCTCAAGCTTCTATTAAGGCCATGTGCAGATGTCATTTGGGCTCTGTAGTCATGCAAAAATCCTTCTTTTTCAGGTATCTCAAGAAGTTTTCCACGTTGTGGGAGTCTTGGTTATGTCAACCGCCCTCACAACTCTGACAGCACTCATATTGCTTCACGTCATTATCAACCTTCACCATCGCCTTCTAAACTTTCTTCACGCGTCTTGATCAACAATTCAAGTTCAGGATACTGCATTCCTGATCTCCAGAAACCGTGCTCCAAACTATATGTATTTGAGTTTTCAATTTCCCCCACCCCACGCCGTCAAATTGGTCATCTAGTTTTGCTAGCTCAATTTCTAACATCTTGAACCCTGAATATGTGTTGTGTTTGTGAAACACGCATGTAGGACCCACTCCGTTTATTCACTCAACCTCACCTGGTCAGTATGGAGAAGGGATTTTCAGTAAGAAATTTATTAAATATGATAGTTAACACCTCACCATTATATGATCGATTGATGCTTTAATGGTTTTAGGGAAATTGGCATTGGTAAATGAATAGTTGGTCCCTCATTTAAAGATGTAAATCGTACTTAAATGTATGCTAGGAAAATAGCGTAATGGTGCGTTAGTCATAGTTTTAAATTAAAATGAATACATTAATAAACCTATGTGGGAAGTTTTACATTGCATACAATGATCGTCATAACTTTGGATGCATATTCAACAGGATGACCTTTCCAGTATTTTGTGACATTCGGCTAGTATTTGACCGATACTAAGTTCTTAATACAACCAAGTAACTTGAATGGAGTTCATTATTTGCTGGTAGGATTCAGCTGAGAAAAAAATAAAAGGTTCGTCTTTTTAACCTCTGTTTAAGACATATTTTACAAATGTATTTGGAAAGGGAAGTTTCGACTCGTGTGTGATTAACTCAGGTAAGTTTCTGACAACACGATAGGCTGGATGAATATAGCAAAATAGAATTTATAAACAGTTGTCTTATACATACTAATCACATAACAGAAAATATGTACACCAAGGAGTGTTTATAAAAGATGTAGGGAATCCGTAAGAGCGCAAGCAAGTGAATTAATTCCTTCATCTTTGTGCCCTGGTAGAATCAACAAATGTTTGTCTCACTGAATATCATTTATCCACGTTCGCTCGACAAGAAGAGCTGTAAAAAGTACAATGAGAATTACGAAAACAATCAACTTAAGATGGTGCATTATCGAGACAGAAGTTATCAATCAATAGTGTGCATGGTATAACAGTGATGATGAAAAATGAAGCAGGTATAAAGGCTGGATAAAAAGCCTTTTTCAAACTTCATAGCATCTTCATACATTCCAATGCTGCGTACAAAAGATATCCCTCAACCTGTGGAAATTTGACTATCCACCAGGAAGTAAGGTGAGAATGTCTAGTTTTGAAGGGAGTAATGGTCAAATATGTCCTGTTACTGAGGGCTCTTTACCCCAACCTACTGAGTTGCATAAAAGTCCACAGTTAGCTGACATTGAAGCAGGGTGTTCACTACCACCGCTGCTATAGAGCTTAGTCAGAAATGTACTGTCATAGGTCACTCGGTTTATTCCCAACATTTTTGGAAACGGTCTGCCAGAATTTGTTGCAACAAATGAAGATGTCGGGTTTTTTTGGATGGATCGATGGAATAACGGAGCACGTTAAGCATGCTTGTTACACATATCACGTATAAGATATATGCGCAACTAACATTAGATATAGTTGTGCAATTCGGTAACCTGATCAATTCAAAAATATTAGGCTTTGCCAGCCTTAAGAAAGTAATTTAATATGCATTTTACATCCAACAAATACATAAATTCAAGTGTTGGTACCATTAAATAAATCGTCCAGTTATAATGTGGTCTTTAAGGCATAAAATTACAGAATTTTCTACCTGGTGAGAACCGATAATTCCGCTGGGCAAGGTTCTTCATCGCCGATGTATCTATTAATACTAGGGGCAGAGGTTTATGTATTTCGAGCCAGCCATAGAGATATGGGGATTTAGATTCAGTTGGTTCTCATAAATAGAATTTCTATCCGGTTAGGTTTGTATAAGAAAGATGTGATCTGTTTTTTAAATTGATCCGTGGACTCCAAGAAAGATCCATCAAACGAGTAACCTTCAGGAGTAAGACGGCATTTAAATTACCGTAGTTTCCATCCAGTTCAGTAGTAGCAGGGAGGCACGAATAATACCTTGAAAGAAGAGGCATTCCGGATGAAACCGCTTGGATATAGCGAAACGGTTGGAGTAAATTGAGCTACTGTTCACTTCCTTCCTATCTAAGATGTGTAAATCAAATTTCATATCATGGGTGACTCTCTTGGTTTGATCTTTAGAAAGACTTAGCCCTCTTATCACAGGGACATATGCAGCTGTATAACAGTCAATCGAAAAAGCTACGTCTATATACACTTTCTAACCTTCACAATATGTGGATGTGGCAAGTGAACAGTAGTCACAAATATGCAGGAAAAACTAATCGATCTATGCAAGTGGGGGTCTTGGAGCATATTCCTAAATGGTCTCCAAAGCAATGACGCCATCGATGCGTACAATAGACACCTGAGCTCTTCGATCTCAAATTGTTTTGTCAATATGGATAAAAATGTTGGTATTTGTGCACCCTCTAAACTAATTCACATACCTAATGTAAACTGTTGCTCGGGTGGGCTTTGGCAGGTAATTCATCGATGAAATCTCTGCGCTGATACAAAAGGCTGGCTTAGCCTTCATAAAATTATACCATGTATGTTACTACGGTGATATCTGATTGTCTATTTAGGACCAAGTGTACTCCGCTGCAGCTCGTGAATCATGGTCGTTAGAAATGGCACACATGAGAAGGCTCCAGGTGTTCGACCGCTGTTGTCCTTGTAGCAGAGATTGTGTGTCGTTGTGCCACCACATCGGAGTTGATGAGGCTGTGAGTTCTCATCGACTTATTTGGCTTGAAAATGTGTTAAGTATGCTTAGTCACTGTTTACCCCGTTTTACAATGTTAGTTTCAGTAGGTTCATGTTAGAAGTAACAGGTGGCTGGAATGAAATATTGTATTAGTCGACGAAGTTTCAAACTATTGATCCGAACGGTCAAGGGAAATGTGGACTTCTTCGTTGGGGTCTGCCTGACAATCGAAATCGGTGATTCAGGACTCTATGAGATAAACCTTAGAATCTGTCTTAGTGGTGCAGATGTATTCACTTATAATCTTCATTTTAGTCGTAATACAGAATTCCACTACTGTTTCATTCTTCAATACTCTCTCTTCAAGAATGTTTACCACCTCTGATCATTTTCTTCCTAATTTTTCTACCTTCCACCTTCAGGCTTTCTTTGATGTAGTGATATGCGGGATGGCAAGTCGCAGCGTTACACAGTAATGCTAAGTCCCATCCTAATGCCGACCGACTGTAGGGGTGTATAGTGAAATTTGCCGGAGAAAAAACTATTAGAAATTTTGGGTCAAATTTTCTCAAGAGGTTGACCATCACAATGGCTTTTGTTGAATTCCGTTCTGAAGCCATATTCAATGTACTATTATTTTAAACTTTAATTTGGCCTCCGAATAGATTCTATTCTTACTTTATGGTTCTTAACTCTCTATTATCTTTCATATAAATGCCGGTGAAAAGTATTTGTGTAGTCAGATTTCTTATATGATGTGACAGAATAGTGGAGAAAATCTTCCCAACGATTTTAGTTACTAAAGCTGGACAGTTATGTTTATAAGTATTGGAAACAAATGAATACGACTTTACAGCTTTAGTAAATGTTGTCCAAAAGAAAAGTTTCTTTGCTGATGCATCCTTCTATTACGACTTCAGGATTTGTCGTTGATTCTTGAGGTGTGTTAGACAAATTAAATCCACAATCACTGTAATCAGTAAAGGGAACCAATTGTTCGGGACAATGAGGAGAAAACGGTGTTGGTTTATTAATGCCAAAAGTAATACTTGTTTGATAAGCGATCCAAAAGAAAATTCAGTGTAGAAGTGAATGATGAAGTTGGTAGTTTTATGACAGTAATTAATTTTAGGATGATTTCCACGATATATAGGACTACTAAATACCAGACAGTTGCGAGACAAACTCACCAACAAGTGAGCAGTATGCGCACATTATTCTTTTTGGAATAAGACCAAAATATTTGAGGTGTTGCACCGAAAAAGTTATCGTTCAGACAATATCTCAACACTTCACAACTTCAGCCAAACCGCTCTCTTACGCATACTGAACCACTGCCTACCTCGATCTGCAATGCTAGAAGTTAGATTACTTTGAGAAAGGGCTCAGGGTGGTCAGATCGAGATGTGGCACCACAGCATGAAGTTACTGACTGTTGGTCTGAGTCGTTCAGATAAGTGTAGACTGGGATCCGCGAGATGATAGGAATTAGTGGTTGAGTACTCTCGGTTAAATGGCTGAAAATCAGTCACTAAGGCGCAGATGTATTCATCTTTCACCGTTTTTTAAAGCCTGAAGGTTTTGACTAACGTTCATTTTTAATTACCTTTTCATCCTAATCACCTTTGTCTACATTGTTATCAGCCTTTTTTATTCACTTGTTTTTTTCATGGTATTGTTGGGTGTAGTAACTTGAACAGATGCGAGGTTCTCCTATGATTTTGTCTGTCTATTATACCACCTTATTAACTTTATTAACTATTTATTGATATACTCGTAATTCTCCGTTGTTTTATTGGATCTAATTGTTCGACCTCTATTGGCCTATGGGCTCCTATGCGAATGCCTTGATATTGTTAACTATGGTAATTTGGTTAGTTATGGCTAGAGATGGGTACGAGGTTTATATCTCAGTGGGAACAACATCACTCACTGAGGTCCAGTTACATCCAGTTGACGAGTCTCAAATAGGACGAAATGCGCGTCCCGGATTCCTCTGCTAGCCACAATCAACCAAATTACCATAAGCAACATTCAGATTTCTTAACTCTTCCAACCTATTTGCTCAAAAGGCCATACATTTTTTTAGAAATCTCATGAAATACTTATCCAAAATGAGTTAACAAAAACTGATCGATCGTTTTTCAGACTGGTAGTTCTATGCACTTGACTGGTTCAAAAAAATTCCTGGATTTTCTGCAATTTATGTTGGGAAATACAAAATAGTAGGATTCATTAATGCACAAATAAATAAACGCAAGTAGTAATTAAGAGAACTTACGTTGATTTACGTTAGCTGGAGGTTGCATAGTCATATCTATCCATCTGTATTAAAATTAATAAATAACAATCCCATAACATATTTTAGTGATAACGGAGAGTAAAAGATTATTTTTATTGATTAATATCTTCTGCGTATTCAAGGATTAAAGACCGTTGTTTACCTTAGGCGCTGAACTGGTTAACTTATCGTGGAAATCGCATTCGTTAACAAATACAGCCATAATATCATCTTTTAGACTTTCACAGTATTTGGCAGCGGTTTTTAGTCGAGATAATGATCTACATTTCTCTTCTCCATAACTCATGAATTGAGTATGTATATTCATAGCACATGATTTCTGGGTGAGTTAGAATAGAAAGCCAAAGTGTCAAAACAAACTGGTTGGCTGAGGAAACTAATTAATTTTACAGATGGGTAACAGGGGTGACATTAAACATGGCCATCTTATTTCAATAATGCAGTGAAATGTTTAGCAGCCAGTCTAAAGCTTGCAAGTTTTTAATGAAATGAAATAAAGAATTTTTCAATTGCTATGTTTGAACCTCACTACTAGCAACTATATTACTATGATGAGTAAATTTAACATATAGTGGTTATCAGAAGTAACAGCACTAGTACTGTATGTAAACATTTTAAATAGTGAATGATAAGTTATTCTAATGGAAATAAATATGGTTCATTCTTCAACTTGATAGTACAGATATTCAGTGCAAGTTGTTATTGTATAATTAAAATAACCAATTACACTTTCTTCATAATTGAAAATAAAGTTGATATGATAAAGGCATTACGGAGTATAACCTTTTACTATAAAGATGGTATTAACATGTACATAAGGAAGAATATATAGAAAAAAATATATAATCCCAGAATGAATAGTCAAATAACGTACAATTAAAAAGTTTTTAACACCTTCATTTTGCTGTTCAACAACAGAGGACACAAGGTAAAGTATGATTAACACTGGATTCAACTCTGAATCATATTCGATAAGGTTTCAGGGCAAAGTTGCATGATCTCTCAGACAGCACTTAGGGAGTTACGACGTATCAATAGGTGCTAGCGTGACACGAATATTTCCGATTTCACAGCACCAAGTAACAAACTGACCACTTCTTTCTGTTTCTTCCTATCTGTCTCTGGGTTAGTAAACAGTGAATGGTCTGGAAGTCAGTGAGATGACAAAGGTAAAACACATCAAAGTTTGAGCCTAAGTATGACGTGCTCCAAAATGAATCTCTGGACCTCAGGATTACTCATATGATGTACACACTGGGTCTAAGCAATTGTACTGAGACAACAATTATCAGACACACAGGTGTTGGATAAGATATCCTCTTCTCTGAATGGCTGGGTCTCCCCAGTATGGACCTAACTTCTGGTACAAAAGTTTCGTCGAAATAACATCGTGGTGGAGCCAAATAGGGCACAGATAATCGTATTAAAAAACAATCATACGCGAGTTACTTGGTTAACCGAAGCCACGTATTGTCGCTAGTCTCCCAAGTGACAGTCTGGTGTACATATTTGTTTGAGACTTATAACATTTATAATTTTAGAAGCAACATTGTGTGCTGTATTCAGTAGTATATTTGTTACTATATACTGCAAAGTTAAAAGTAATGCTCACGAATTCATTTTAATACGTAAACTACTCTAGGAAGGTCGAATAGAGTAGAATAGTATGACGTCGTTCTACTCCAGAGGTGCTCCTCAGCTACCTAAACCATAATTTTCCAAGTGACTTTACATGCTTTTTCTGATATGAAAAGTGGGTTTCCAGGTGGAAATAAAAAATGTTAATACAACGAAGTGGAATATAGTAAGACTAAACAGATGCTGAAAGGCAGTCATTAAAAGGTTACTCATTTTTAGATGAACAGATGAACATTTCAGAAATGTATTGAGGAGTTAGAAAGTCAAGTAGAAATAACATTTGCTAGTAGTGGAAAACCAGTGTAATGGATTACTTAGGTTTTATGCAAAAAATAGTTTACAATAAAAAAGAGGACAGGAATGAGTAGAAATTTAGAAAATCACTGGTCAGAGTTTCAAACAGGTAAGCAAAGAAAATATGTTGTTGGTAATTTTCAGTATAAAATGTTGGAAACAGTTACCACGGTAGTAAAAAAACGATAGCCGTCAGATTCTGGATACATAGACTGTATTTCAGTGGGTTAACGGCCTTTACCCCGTGAGAAGAGGGAAATCTGGATCCAATTACGTAAGGAAAATGATAATATAGCCACCATCAAGTGCGTGGCGAGAGACTGCTATGTTGAGACGTATCTGCCTTTGAGCTTCATATTCTTCGGAAATGCAATCAAGTACCCTTTTGTATGTTCTTCTGACGTATCGGTTTCGGCACACATGTGAATTGACTAACGTACATTTACATCATTGAAAAAAGAACTTATCACGTTCTGATTCCTAAAGTGAGCAGTTGCTGTGATACATAGGAACAAGCTGGGTGGTTGGATGCATTCTGTTTAATGAAACAACCATGTTGTACTTGATTCACTCGATATTTTGCTTGCAAATGAAGCTAAGACTTGAAAATATAGACTTCCTCAATTACACTGAACTTCACTGTTTCCTTCGGTGCCTTTGTATACTTGTTTACGAACTTCCGCCGCTCAGCTACGGTGAACCTTTCTGAAAGAACTTCCGCCGAGAAAAGTATTCGGATTATATCGAGAATATTAGAGAACTTCTTGAGAAGTGTAAAAGCACATTTTTGTAGCTCACTGAACGAAACTGGTTGAAACTTAGGTAAAACTCATTACATGTACTTTAGGTCAGTACTTATTATGAACTGACATTAGTTGGAGGAGTACTGAAAACCTAGGATCACCTGACAGTTGTTTCGTCCTAGTGCGGGACTCCCCAGCAGTGTGCACCCATGATCCCACCTGGGGGTCGAACCCAGGACTTTCGGGTTCTGCAACCAGCACGTTGCCTTAGAGCCACTGGGTTGCAATCCATTAGTGCATATTTCCTACTTCTGTCCATTCACGATATAGCGTGCTGGCCACAGGGCCTGAACTAGATCCATGGTGGGGTCATGGGTGCGCACTGCTGACGAATTCCATATCAGGACGAAGCAGCCGTCCAGTCCTCTTATGTTTCTAATGTTTCTCCAACTGACGTCAGTCCGTGATGAGTATCAACCTGAAGTCAATAAATTCCCACAAACCTCCGAATTCATTTCATGTATCTTTACGATAAACAGATTTTCGGATCATTTTATCCTCATTAGGTGGAACGGGGAAGTCCAGGAATATAAATAAGGTTACTGTAATAGTTGTAAAAGAAAACGAATTTGAAATGGAAGAGTACCAGTAAGTCACAGGCATGTTTAGGTAAGTAAAAAATATGGACGTATCATCAATGTATTTGGTATTGAATGCTGTCTGATCAGTTACATACAACATCTATCTTTCTTCAACAATAGAAATAAAAATAGGTGACACTTTCGGGCCTAAAGAGACTGCTAATGGCAGCTCTGTCTACTTGAAGATACAAAACAACAACCTAAAATGATAAGTCCTTTTTATGAATTTGGATGCTGTAATTAGAAGACGCAGTTTATCTGAAAAATGTAATGCATTTACGCCACACATTTCGAACAATCTGATCACGCATTCACTTGTTAAGAGATTTTATTTACCAGATGGAAATAGAAAAAAAACAGATATGACAGTAAATAATGTAATAATAAGAAAGGTGATGAAAACAGAATGATAAGCTTTTAAAATAACTCTGGTAATACGAGGAGATAGACAATACAAGGGTACGCTTAGTGTAGGGACAAACTGGTTTTGAACACATAAGGAGGCTTACATCTTTGTATGACCAGTGCTCTAACAAACCTGAGTATACGCCCCTGACATTTTCTGCAGAATATTGTAAAAGCTGTTTTAATATCAATTCTGTGACATTTATGGACAGTGTGTTTGGTAATAGATGATGATAGTTGTCTGCCACCTGAGCTTATCGATGTTTGAATCCAGCTGCTTTTGTAGCCATCACCCTCAAGTGCATATATCCACTAGTCCTCCTTATGTATGTGTCAGAATATGAAGATAAAGCAAACGTGATGTACATGGTGAGTTCCTTATTGATGGATTTGTTGATTATCTTCCTCAGCAGCTCTATTAACTTTTCTGATAGCCGTTTCTCTGTAGCATCAGTTATATCTGTTTGATAATGATCAACCGTAAATGTTCGCTTTTCATGAGAAGTTGACTTCACCTTCTGGACTTAATCGTTCGTATTCACTACAACTATAGCAGAGTCCTTCGGTAGTCAGAAACTAACAATTTGCTCATCAGTTATTGGATTTTTCAGCGCTGTTTGATGATATCCGGCCAAAATGTTTAGATAGTTGACTCAGTGATATGATTTACTGATTGGCAGCACCGATCAGTTTAGATTTTAACCAACACTGCTACTCTCATTTCACGGATTCCAGGACAAATGAGTGACGGTATTAATTGCAGAGTTTTTGTATTTTGTTATGATACCTGGAATTTCCCGTTGCTATATAGGGCAGAATCACCCGACCTCTGTTGACGGCCTGCTTGAACCTTGGGCCACCAAATTTATCCACCGAACATTTTTTATCAAGTTCTTTCCTTTCAATTCGTTTTCATCATTTAAATATGTCCTTTGAACGTATCATGTATTCTTGCACATTTTTAAACTATTTCCAACTCTCCGTTTTTCCAGTCAATGAGAAAGCACAGAAAAAGTGTTACGTTATATGGAAATGGACTTTTCGGTGCACAAAAGTACATCATATCCCTCAGGTACTTAGCTTAAGTTGCAGATATTAATACCGTCTGAATGAACCACCATCACCAAAATTACGCTTGCATTTCTGTTGATTCTTTATTATGGACCAGATGTCCATCAAGAAGCAGTTGGCTACTTCATATTATTGCCTTGAATAGTGCTATCGTTAGCATCATTTCGATGTAATAACAGTTTCGTCTGAAAGCATTGTTCCGGGAGTGAATTTGTTGAAAAATTACATACTGAGAATTCCATATTGTCATACATATTGTTTGGAATGAAGCGAATACTATCATTATTATTATGTGGACGCCCCGATACTTCCAAATATTTATGTTATATTGATCTTGGTGACTAGCAGAGGAATCCAGGATGCTAGTTTCGCCCTGTTTGGGGCTCGTCAGCCGGATGTGCCTGCATCTCAGTGAGTGATGTTGTTCCCACTGAGGCTCGAACCCAGTACCTTTCTCTTCAAACGTCAGAGCTCTATCCACTAAGCCACTAAGCTACTGTGCCCCAGCAGCATTTGAAGCTATAGGTACTGGGGTCGAGCCTCAGTGGGAACAACATCGCTCACTGAGGTGCAGGTACATCCAGCTGACGAGTCTTGGATAGGAAGAGACGCGCATCTTGGATCCCTCTGCTAGTCACCAAGACCAATATAACATGGAGAGTTTTTGTTTCACTTTTTCTGTTGCATGTTCTTCGAATACAAAATTCTAATCCAAACTAACAATGCTCCTGTTTCAATTTGGTTCAACTTCAAACTTCATAAGTTAAGATTCATTAAAATACCCGAAACAGTTTTTATTTTTCTCGAGAGTTTTGATTAGTTCATTTATTATATTCTTGAATTTTTTCATTTGGATGTCTTGGATAGAGTTAATAGATTTGATTTATCATACAACATTTGTCTTGCTGATGACTGTCTAAATTACTAACTTTCAAGTTTAACTTTGAAAGGAAGTGCACCCAATTCGCGGTTTTGGAAAAAATAGAAGCTGCTTCTTGAAAGATGGTGGTTTGCACAATCACATAGATCTGATGAACTGTCAGGGAAAGAAACATACCTAAACATGTTTCTCAAAAAACTTTCAGTTTTGTCAATTCGCCTGAAAATTTGAAACAGATTGTCGTCAAATGTCTCAGTTATTTTAAAGTTTAAATGGAGAATTCTATATTAATTCGTTCTCGTTATAAATTTTGATAAACTAAAAACAAACATGAGAGCAGAATAATATAACATCATTTTAAGTGAGTAAACTTATAAAATGTCTTTAAAATTTATCAAGTTGTTTTAAGCTGTAAACCATCGAGGAGAAATAAAACGACATCATAGCATTCTGGTTCAAACATCCCTGAAGTGTTAGAAACACTATCTTTATTACTTGGATATTAATAGTAATAACCTCATAATCAATTCCATAACAAAATTTCTAATATAATTCATTTTATTTTCATTAGTGATAAGTATTGATACAAGAAACAAACAAGAACAATATCAGTTTCAGAAAAATAAAGCGCAAAGGATCGTATTATTGAACTTACGTTTGCTCTTCTTTAAGTTTGTGTTTTCTTTGTTTACGTAGGACGAATACAACGGTTAGTACCAGAAGAATAAGTCCGATAAATGAAACTGGTTTAATAGGAAAAGAATATGAAAGGCATTTTGTGATTCCATGAACAACAATAGGAGCAATAATATATATATATATATATATATATATATATATATATATATATATATATATATATATATATATATTGTCAGCTAGAAATACTCTGTGTACTATCAAAATAAGTCACCAACGGATTAGGAAATATATTTTTAATAACATAGGGATAATAAGTGAAGTTGAAAAGAAATCAAGATAACAACATAATTCAAACAGCAGGTATCTAAGTGACAATTTCATTTCTTTAGGAACTAAGCTATAAGACCCAAGTAAATCAACGACAGTCGTTGGAATACGCAGATCACGTAATTATCCGTTCATAACCAACACTTTGGCTGTTCAGTTGGATCAATCATTTAACGCTTATATTAAGACTAGTCTAGGAAGCGAAGGCTATTTCAAATAGTCCAGTGAATTATGTAGTTTCACTCCTCGAGAATAACTTCTCAAAACATAATCCCTTCTGAACTTGTATACCAATTGAGATCGAAGAAATGCATTCACTGTTCAACCAGTAAAATCAGTGTATACTAAGCCGTCGGTTAACAGAAGTAACTGTTAGTTACATAATGATTGAGTCATAAGTATGATAACTTTTTACTGACAGTTTCTTGTCGTTCACTGTGATGTCAACGTAAAGATGCGATTACTGATGAAGTTTGCTACGGTTTCTATTTACAGCACAGTGTAGTGGAATTAACCTGAATCAAACTTGTGTTATCATGTCATCTCAGTTAGATGACAACCTTCTACATGTAATATTTTAGCCACAAATTATGACAGATTCATAATGTTAGTGGGTTTTTTTTGTCAAAGACATAGCATCAAAACTGACAATTCTAACTCTTAAAAATTAGTAAACAAAATAAAAGTTGAAATATGCCAATCGCTGAATGTTAACGACAGTTATATTTCATTCGAAATGTAATCGTTGCTTTAAATGAATAATTATCCTAAGTATAAAAATGATTTCAACTGTAAGTATTGACTGTATAACCATTGAAGACAATCAACAAGCTCATAGATCAAGAGAAATAAATCAATGTTAAGCCAGTAAAGAAACCTTAACTATTCCCTTCTATTTGGGGTTTATGATAATTGCTGTGTCTAAAATACCGCTGTAAGGTTTCACCGTTGAATAACACATTTCACTGAAAGTTAAACTTCAAAGCACGATAGAGTAAACTCTCAGAAACCTCCAAAACGTCATTTATTTAGAGACATCAAATTATGCTGAAATAATATGAGTTCGATGATTTTATATTCAGTATACACTGACAGACAGACAAAAATGACGAAGAACCTTGTGCAGAAGTTCAAGTTGCCACAACTTGCAGCAACAGACAAAAAACTAGCGGGAAAAAAGGAGTGATATCAACGTAGAAAAAAGTGTGTGCGAAAAGAGAGAATTATAAAAAAAGATTAGTGAAAATGCTCAAGCTTTCCAGTATGGTACGGAGGGAATACGTCTGCACCACTGTGACTGATTTTTAGCCGTATCACCACGCTTATCCAACACCTTGAGAAAGCCAACCAGGTAGTCTACATGGGTTCAAAAGTTAGGTGTCATGGTGGTTTGATTACCCTCAAGCTTCTCCCGAACCAATCCTATTTTGGTTAGTACTGCACAATGAGATGGGCGATGGCTTAGCATCCTCATTACATACCCAGGTCATCTCAGTTATCGAAGGTTTACAACCTTATCAACTAACTTGCCTAACTTACCTAGTTCCTTTCGCCTAACTTCAACATTCTTAACACGGTAGGATCTAATTGATTATATGCTCAGTAGAGTACACGAAGATGATATAAAATAGTTCAGTTAACAAAGTCAACTACTTCTTTTTTCTGAAGTGACTTCAGTGGTTTTTTATTGCATAAAATGGATGTGGATGTGTCATCTCATGGTTTATTTCAACAAGGGTTTTTCACCTGAAAAGTTTTGAAAAACAGTTTTTCCACCAAAATAACCAACACGAGTGTTATGATACTAATTATTTAGATAGTATGTATACTCCTAAGCAACATCTAACTGGTATACTAGATACCAAAACCCCAGAGTAACTCATCTGTATGACAGCTGTTACTGCCTCAGAGTAGAAAAAAGTAACCCAAAACACATGTATACCTATACATCAGCGGTGATATTGTCCAGAATTAGAAATATTAATATGTTAAAAGTAAGCGTCAACTAATCATCAGTTTGCCTTGGCAAAAGAAGGGAAAATGAACTACTGATTTAATGTACAAAAAAATTAATGTTTCATGTAAATTTGGGAGTCCGCCAACACCGACCAAGGGACTAACAGATAGTTCTCGATGTTACATGGTTTTAGGCAACCAGTCTTAAGCCCTGCCTAACCTAGGTGTATCTGCAACCTCTACGGAACTGATGTCGCCTTGAAGACTCAAACCACTGAGCTATTTGAGTTATGATTGATTTCCTATAGAACTGAAAGTGTATCATGATGCCAAGTTTCTTACCTCGGGAATCACATTATAAAATGATCGATAGACTTTAGTCAATACTTCGAACTAGACAACATGAAATTGGTTATTCTCCAATGACCAATCAAGATATTTCTTCTCGTTTGTTGTCTTTAATCGAACCAGAGTAACAAATGACGAACATCATTAATGCACATTTATCTTTTAGAATGCGGTTAAAAGCTGAACATTATAATTTAAAAAAATACCTAAACTTTCACTTCCTTTCTTTTTCCAGCATATAGAAACTATTGCTAGACTAGAAGTTATCCGTAAACAACAATTCTGCCTTAACAGATATAAATATAACTTTAAAAACCTGAAAGATTATTACCAGATGCTTAACTTTGTCTTATTGTATTCAATAATGCTAACATCATGAGTATCCTGAATAACAGTATTAGAGGATTTTATGTGCATTTCATCAATTATGATGAGTGACAAAAGTTGATTTTAATGTTTATTTTATTCCTTAGTATGGATTCATACTCATATCACTTAAATATCATAATAGTTTTTGATGAGCCCTATAGTTTATTAGGATTTTTAATGTTTTTCTGTTAAATAAAATTTTATTAAAAGAAGCCTAACGTAAAGATTTAATTGGAGATTAATCAATTCATAATTAATAATTAACTTTTTGATAAGACAGATTACTATCACTCATAAAAATGCAATACATTCTATAGAAAAGAGAATGTTGAAAGACTGAATGATTTTGTTCATCTAAATATATAGTCAGTGCTTCTATATGGTTCAGAAACTTGGCACGTTACGAAAAACATCTTCAACAAATCTACAGACATACATCATGAACAGCTGTCACCTACGCTCACTCGATACTGAAGATCAGATAGACAGAATAATAAGAATAAACAACAAGAAACTCTAGCTGGCGACAAACCAACCAAGAACCCGTCGCTCAACAAATATTCAGAAGAAAGTGGAGATGGATTGGATTGGATTGGGCATACACTGAGAAGATCATTTGAGGACATCATGTGCCAAGACAGGCTTTGGAGGGGAATCCAAAGGGGAAACAACGAGTTTGGCATCCGAGGCGAGGGTGACATGGAGGAGTTCGTGTGAGGAAGAAATGAGAGCTTGAGGGCAGCGTGGGACAGCTTCAAAATACTGTAGAGGACAGAGTGAAGTGGCGACGTGCTACTGAAGCCCTATGCTCCACTAGGAACCTAAGGGAAAAACAATAATAATAACTTTATAGTATTTACTTACCTGCTATAATAATTGCAAATAATGGAATAGGGATACCGTTAATTCTCCCTGTACCTAAAGAAAATGAAAATATTTAGAGTTTTCTTAACAATTTCCTAGAATGATGACAATATAGACAATACAGATTTGTACACTAGAGATACTTTAAAACAAGCAAACTTCTTAAATGATCATGAGAACTGATTTGATTTTTGACTATTCTTAGTATGAAACCATATCAATAATCGATGGATTTATGTTTCTTTTGCACCGATTTTACCTTAAGATATTTAAGCTTATTTGTTGAAAAATGTTGAGATAATGTCAAATACTACCTAAGTGGCCTGATGAATATGTACGACTGCAAAAAAGAATAAACTTAACAATATTTTTCATTTTTACTGATTTGCATCTTTATTCATTTTTATGTACTGAATCAGTGAATGCTCTGTGGTCTTGAGAGCTTTTTCAATGAGTGATACGAAATACACAGTTGTACAATAGTATAAATTCTTCGAATATCCTTTTAAGACGCTATAAAATTGTGGTTTAGAAATGTTGGCTATGTTGTGGAGATGAATGAAATTTTTCTAAGGTGGCGTAGATAAAGTAGAAGAAGAAATATGAAGGAAATTGTTAAGCGATAGACAGCAGCCAAAACAATCATCGAAGTTGACGTTTTCCAACGTTCACTATTGATCAATACTTCTGTGATCAGGATTATCTTACTGAATAAAGTGCAGTTTAAATGTATGAATCAGAATAATCTACTCAGTTTCTCTTCTGTGGCATTTTTATGTGATTAGCGAAACACATATTGTTTTCACAGGCCAGCCTTCGACTTTTATTATATTCGTGGTTCAGAGAAACAGAAGGTTCTGAGGGAATGGGATGGAAACAATTGTCTTTGTAAGCAGTTCAAGTATGTCCACATACTCCGCATAGTTATTATCTACTTATATGTCCAATCTAATCGGCTACTTGAGAAAGTGTTCATCGAAAGAATATACCGAATGGTCTGCAAGTTCTCAGACAGGCATCACGAGATGCCTTTTCATGAAGCTATTTATAACTATTCGCAGTAAAGAAAAGATGCTTCTTAGGAAACACTGAATTTCATCTCATACAGAAAACTGAATACATCAACCAGAAAATATGGAACAGAATGATGTCAATGCTTTTATTTTAACCACCTATAACTTACAATGTATGCAAAACATATATATATATATATATATATATATATATATATATATATATATATCGACCAAGCTGACAACAGAGCATTCTTTAGAATTTAAAATAACACAGAACTAGTGTGATCAGAACGTGGAGAAAGTAAGTTAATTTCTTCATACATTTGATAAGGTTGATTACTCATAAAGAGAATGAAGAAATATTTTAGATATAGGAGCAACATTTTGGTACTTTGACTGACTATAATTACACTTCCATCCGTTTAGTAGATTGACAGTGTTATTTACTGGATAACGTTTCGAACAGAATATTTTTTTCGCGTTCATACAAAGTAACTCCACAACTTGGAAGCAGTTTATGTAGTACTAATTCTCACTCCTTATGTTCGGGGTAGTAAAATTTTCCATGTTCGAGACAGGGGTAGAATCACTTCTATTGCACGTATTTGGTGTGGATTTGATAAAGAAGGATTCGGCTATCGATCTCTCCTTCTACCCAACTAAGTTAATTTTCAATACCATCACTCTGTCCCACCCTGTTGTGTGCAATTGCATGCATAGCTAAAGCCGAGTTTTCCTCCAGATTCCTTATCTTACTACTATCACTTTTGATTTAGCTAGTCTTTTGTGCTCGAATAGCCTAATTGACCCTAGTTGACCATCATGGCCCGAATAGTTGACGTTTTAATGATTACAAGGGATTTGATGAACTAAATTGTTTTGCCTAATTGGACCAATAGGGTCTTGTAACCTGCAAAGCTTGTTTCCAAGTTAGTTTGTAGGTTTAAATGCCACTGTAACACAGCCTTACTAAGAAGTCCTCGTATTGCTTCCGAGATGTGTTCTTTGTAAGGTAATAAGAGTAAAGATTTTGAATTCTGTTTCCACTGTGTTACCATTATTACTACCATTGTTATTATCATTACTATTAACACCTGTGGAACCACTACTGCTCATAATTTTCTTACGATTTCTTATGAATTTATTGATCGAATTAGGTGGGTAATTATTGAGACATAAAGTATTCTTGATGTATCTAATTTCTCGTCGCATATTCTCTATCTTACTTGTAAGCTTTTTTGTCCTGTTACTTGGACATTTGTCAAGCCTACCGTAACTTAGAATGAGATTATTTCAAGTCTAAGTAGTGATTCAAATCAGGAGGTTTCTCTAAACTTCTATCTTGTGTTCGTTTTATCTTGCAATCCAAAATTATTAACTCCTCTTCAATAATTTCTAATTCATGAGTGAGCTGAATTGTGTTCACTAGTGAATTTGTGTGTAAACACCAGCTAGTGGGTTTCGATTTTAGCGTCGTAAATGTGTCATCTACAAGCCTACAACATATCTCTAGAGTAAGACTAAATGTTTTTAAGGGTTATCTGTTCCCAACTATCCATAAATTTGTCTGCAACGATAGGGGACATCAGTGATTGTATGGCAATCCCACTATTTAAATTTATTTTATTTTGAAACTAAAAACTTAAGACGTAACCGTACTCTTAACATAATCTCGAATGGTAACTTAGTTCGATGTATAGGCTCATAGTCACTAGTAAGTTGATTTCTAACTGCCTGCAGAGCAATGTCTTCCAGTACATTATTGTACAAGCTTAGTCACATCAAAACTAACCACTTTTTCACTGTTATCTAATTGCATTTCATTTAATTTATACTTTAAGTCATAAGAGTTTGTAAATTGGCATTATGAATGGTTTTCAATTGGGCCTAGTGCCGTTGCTATATTTTTGAACAACTCATAAGCTGAAGTATTTCTAAAGTCTACTATGGGTTTAATAGGTTAACCTGGCTTAAGAATCTTTAGAGTACCTTACATTCTACTGGGATTATTAGTTCTCGACGCTAAATAAAACTACTTTGACTCGTTTGAAATGGTTGAATTTGGCGCACTAGATCCACTGTGCATTTTATAACCTTATTCATAATAGTATCGATTGGTTTTTTAATCTATTCATATGGTCCTGGTTCTATGTTTATTCACTTTGAAAATGTAATCAGATTTGTTTATCAGAACCGTTGTATTGTCTTAATCCGATTTGTAAGTAATAAATTTTTATTGTTCCAAAGGTTCTTAAGAGCTTTCGTTTCGAATTTGGGCAAATTTGGTTTCATTTTCTTCAATCATTTTGGTATTACTGTACATTGCGCTCATCTGTAATTGTCTAATTTAGTGAACTAAACGCTATTTCTATTTTAGGGATGGCATATTCTGGTTTCAATTAGTAAACCACTACATTAAAGTTAAGACCATTCATTAGTAACTTTACTTCTGGTAAGTTTAGGAATCCAGTTGAAAGACTGAAAACCCACTTTGGTTTATCGATCATTGGTGATTTGCTATTGGTAATCTCATTATTGATACTGGATAATGATTAAAAGTGAGATGAAAATTTGGGGCGCGGTAAGATTCGAACCAGCAACCACTGGGTTTCCGGCCTGGTGCTCTACCAACTGAATTACGAGGCCCAACCGCTGACCAGATTTTTATTTCATTTCAATCATCAAGGGGTTTGCCCAACTGTCATGTGAATTCATGACGCATTACTATCACTTAATCTTATTCACATTGGATGCCCAGTAAGGACTTCTCATCTCCAATCCAGATCTAAATGTTTGTAGAGCTTTTTCGAGTTTCTTTAAAGTAGCTGATTTTGTTTTATTGAAAGTTTGTATGAAAGGTGGATATAGGATAGGGTAAGGTAAATAAATTGCGATAATACAAGATTTATACTGGATGATGATTGAAAATTAAGTGAAAATCTGAACCGCAGCTGGATTCGAACGAGCGAATTCCGGACTACTGACCCGGTGCTCTGTCATATCTGCCAAACCAAATCTATCTCAGATAGGTAAACTTATAGTGCAAGACTAGCACAAATACATCTATTTTTCCCAAATTATGTATTGTCTTAATTAAAATTACACTATCTTATTTTCACCCTTCGTATAAAATGTCTTGACAAGTAAAATGTGTGAACAGTTTGTTCAGTATACATTGTGCAAATACGTTTATTACAATTATCAATCAGAAGTCCATTATCTTTTTCACTAACGGTTTGCACCGGTTAACATTTTAATTCTTCAATATCATTCCTGATGCTGTACAACGTCTTGATGATTCCACGAGTTTCCATTTTAGGACAGCATAAAGAACAAGATCCGGATTTTCAACACTAATGTCAGTCAAGTTAGTGCTTCTATATGATTCAGAAACTTGGCACGTTACGAAAAACATCTTCAACAAATCTACAGACATACATCATGAACAGCTGTCACCTACGCTCACTCGATACTGAAGATCAGATAGACAGAATAATAAGAATAAACAACAAGAAACTCTAGCTGGCGACAAACCAACCAAGAACCCGTCGCTCAACAAATATTCAGAAGAAAGTGGAGATGGATTGGATTGGATTGGGCATACACTGAGAAGATCATTTGAGGACATCATGTGCCAAGACAGGCCTTCGAGTGGAATCCAAAGGGGAAACAACGAGTTTAGCATCCGAGGCTAGGGTGACATGGAGGAGTTCGTGTGAGGAAGAAATGAGAGCTTGAGGGCAGCGTGGGGCCAGTTTCAAAATACTGCAGAGGACAGAGTGAAGTGGCGACGTGCTACTGAAGCCCTATGCTCCACTAGGAACCCAAAGCACAAATAATAATATAATAATGATTTCTTAGACATTATGTATTCACTATTCGATTCACCAAAAATGAACCTATGGACCGCTTCTTGTATTTGCTTACTAGAACTTAGATTTATCGAAAATTACCAAATATAGTTCATTGGTGACATTAAACTCTCCCTAGTTATTGTAAATCTTATTAAGTATACTTAAATGATAATTGAGAAAATACTAACAAGAATGAGACGATAAAATGGACCAATGTCTTTATATCTCAAATTACTGTCTTATTACAATGAAGTTACAACAATCCTCCAATGCCAACTAAGGAACATTCAACGATAAAGCGGCTGACAAAATGACTAATGTATTACTGTTATCGAAATAAATTTACTGGTTTACATATTTAGAAGTGAATATCAGCAAAATCCAGGGTGTAAATTTCGTACTATTTGAGGCTCGTTGGTCGGATGTACCTGTGTCCTAGTGGCTGTCGCAACTCGTTAGCCTAGTTTATAACTCTCTGGTGTTTGCAGCGATGAATGACCGATTTGCAACACAGTGGGAACAGGAACTGGGATGTAGATGGATTCACTTGACAAAGTTAGATAAGGTGAAATCTGCAGGTTAGATTTCAAAATTTCCTACTACTAGATATGTAGTTATGTTTTAATCGCATATTACATCGTGGCGTCTATACACGAGACTTATATACCAATAAAGACCAGTTGATTCAGTCCTTCAAAACAGCAGCAGGAGTTGTCTGAACTCCCAATAAACAGACAGACAAACAAAAAAAAGCGTAGAACCTCACGCATAAGTGATCCAATCAATTTTCAGCCATAACCCCAAGAAACAGTATTATCTTCTGGTTCAAATTACGCATACAGTTTAATGTCGAGGCTGTTCATGCCACCCTACAAGGCCCATATCGGTAGTCAAAGACTTTTTGGACTGGTCACAAGTCCCGATCTAAGCAACCTTAAGCAATAACTAAGTACGAATGGTTCAAACGTGAATTAGGATAACTAAGAAACATTCATCGATGAATATAGTTAAACAATAACGAAAATAAATAGAAAATATTATCACTGACTTTCGTCAGTATATTGACATGATGCACACTGATTATACTGACTAAAACCTGCCAATAAAAAGTACAATTAAGTGACTGATATGTAGCGACAAAAGGCAACCAATAGAGAAGTTTTCAGATCATGATTTATGCATGCAGTGACATGATTACCCGATTGGACAAATTCGACATCATACAACAAATCGGATTGGTTCATTTTTACGGCTTCGTTTTCTGAGTTTTGTAAATACATACATATATGATGTATTTGTCCAATAAAGTCGTCGTTGTTCTTGAAGTCACAGGCCGGTCTTTGTCTTCTGATTTTTTGCGGCTCAGTGAAGCAGAAGGTACTGAGGGAGGTCAGTCATAAAAGTATTAGGTTGAGGTGTCTATTGAGTCTCAGCATCATTATACCCACGCCCGTAATTCCACTTGGTCACAACAGTGACAAGTTCGGTAAATATGATAGACTTGTACATCACATTAGTTTATCAGAAGATGAGTAAATGACAAACAGTAATTACTTTTAATCATCTTTAAAGACCTAATACTAAGTCTAATCCTAAATCTACAGTTTACTTTTATGATCATAGATATTTTCTCAGTATTGCTCGCGTGTAACAAAGCCAAAAAAGCTGTATGAAGGTAAACGTAGTTTATGGACAATCAAGTCAAGGAATGAAGTTGTAAGGCCATGCAAGAAGTATCTAACTTTATCTAAGCCATGTATAAGCTGCTTGAGTGGAATTCTCAAGATGATCGGAATCAGTAGTTGGAAACATTAAGTGAAGTGGTTCAAAATCTGTCATAACAGTGTGAATGTTTTCACTCGTAATCTCCTCTGAAATTTAAGACATTTTACTAACCTTAACTCACTTATCCTCTTCCCTTTGACACGTTGTCTACTGTAATACCTATCCACTTTCACTATGTATGCCGCTGTAGAGTGTGACAGCTTGAAATGATGCATTTCTGTACGTTCATGTGACTGTCTGTTCATCTGTTTATAGTTCACCGCTGCATATAACCAATATGATTACATCAGGTGTCACTTTGGATGATATCGGTTTAGTTGAGCAAGTTGAGAATAATACATGTATATTTTTAATATTCACTTCCATACTAGTGTAATAGTTTCAAGCAATACGGTTGTACTATTTTTTTCAGTTTCTTATCTACGGTGAACTAACTTTAGAAGATAGATTTTATTGAAAATCTTCTGTTTCTGTATATGAAAGTATCGAATCAAGGCGATTGTTTATCGCTAAGCGTAAAAATGAAACCAACAAGTACAGCCAAATGGATAGTATACAGAAACGTATTTAGCATGATTAGGATTCAGGTGATGTGAAGTCAAAATATCAATGTTGGTGTTTAAATATACGACTTCTGCACGAAGTTTTACCGGTGATAGCAAGAAGTTGAACATCGAAACATATATCAATTGAAATTTTGGTTCAGAGAAGAAACTACTTTAGTCATCGTACAAATTCATACTTTATCAAAGAAAAATAAACAAACTTGGTTAAAAAATGTTACCGATAAGGAGATTAACACAGATTGAATACATTGTGAGAGAAGTTTAAGTAAAACGTTCATTTTATTTTACTTACATAAATAACCATTTTCATCTGAACCATCATAACAATTGTAAACAGTATCACATGTAAGAGAGTCAGGTATACAATTGGTAGCTGCATCCCAACAACGAAATGTATTTGACGGACAATTATATGAAGGTCCTAAAGCTATTCATCAAAGCAGAAATAATTGAAAAATATTGGCAAAGAATAAAGTATTCTATAAGCTTTTTAAGAAAGAACCCTAATCATACAAATTTTGCAAAAAATGAACGACAAATGAGGATATTTATAATGAAATAATGACATTTATCCAAACATGATCTCTGCTTGTTTATTTACACTTTACCTAATGACTCCTGAAAATGACTTATGATCCAGAATAAATGAATACATAAAATCCGATATAATTTTCGGATAATTGAATTCAGATGTGGTATCATACTAATTACACATACTAATTAATTATTAATTCAGGCTCTTTGAATATATATGTTTGCTTTGGCTATGATTATCTCAGTGGATTGACTAATTTTCTTTCTAAACTGTATTGAATCAATTTTTACTTATTCTACATTTTGTAAATTCTACTTATTGAATTTTACCTGATCTTGGACACTGCATTGTAGCATGTATTGACGCCTTTCTGGGTAGTTAAATATCGTTCTCCGTGTGATATAATTATACATTGGTTTATTAATGTGGGCATTGAACTTGACCATATGCTGTCTATTTGCCTTTAAAAACACTTTCATGATCATGTTTCCTAGCTTGGTAAGTAAGTAGAAAACTCATAACTTCAGTACTGAAGACTTAGTATGAGAATTTTCAAAGAAAGTGTCACTAAAAATCCTGAAATCTAAATATAGTAAAAGATTTCTTTGAAATGAAAGATGAGTGTGTCTCTGGGGTGACACTACTGTTTTGGTGTACAGAGTTGTCATTCGCTTGGTTTGGTAAATCTACCAGTTGATCTGTGTTTCTAAATAGCCATGTTGTCAGTGGATAAGCCGTAATTAGCGGTTTCGTAACTGTGTACATTCTTCAACTACCTTCATAGTCGCCGTATCTAGAACCAATACAGATTCCATTCCCCGACTTTTTTGCGCGTTAATTCTAACTCTCAGCAATCTGGGAAAATTTATCGTCACATATGCTTTATCATCCAAACACTGTAAAGGTAGCACCTTTCACCTAAAGCTATGAAAGTAACGAAACCCACCGTAGTGATTTTAAGGACGTTAACAGTTGCGTGAAGTTCCTGATACATTCATCAATTATCCAGTGGGCCTTCGATATGGTGGCTCCAATATTTATCCAAAATCGATTAAGTTTGACTAACAATAAAGCAATGCCATTTAGATATCACCATAGCAAAAGTGGTTGCGCGAATGAAGATAACGCCACTTGTGTTGACAAGATGTCTGTAGTGCAGGCTTTGGTGATGCCTATACTCAGAATCTCTTTTATTGAGCTAGACGTCAGAACTCATCATAATCGTGTCATGGGATGCAATCTCATTGGTGACCTGCGGGTCCCTCCTTTAACCTAAATATATGGTGCAGTAACAGAGGAGACTTGGATTGATTATCTAGAAGGACAAAAGCAGTCAAAGAATTTTTAGGACTCATACCTTGAAGTAGAGTGAAACCTAGGTAAGAAACATGACTTCTATATGAATAAGATTGATATAAGATTTTGTGATACTTTTAGACTATATAATGGGTCGCGATCTCGCCAAATATCATCTAAGTTAAAATACAAATCGCAGTTAACTGCTTGATGATTAGGCTTGATAAAAACCTTAAAAAAATCTAAAAGTCTCAACACACTGAGCCTTTCTTGAAGACTCGCAGAATTAGACTGAGATTATATGTGAAATCCAGAAAGCACTTTTTGTCACCATTGAGACTTGTTAACTGAATTTGCCCACCTATACATCGAATTTTGTTCCAACTGAGTCTCGTGTGAAGTAAGCATAGCTTCAAACAACAGGCCGTTATCCACTATGTCACTGAGTCCCAACTGTTGCATCTTATACAACGAGTAGTAGTTGATATTATACTTTGGGGCTTCTCGTTGATTTATGGAGCAGAATAGACTACTATACAAAAATTGGTTCACATGACTCAGTATCCTGGTAAGTAACCATCTAGCATTTGAAGCCATGGTTACTATCATCACATTTAAGTGGAAACATGAACATACACGACAGTATATCCAGTTGACTAGTTTCAAATAGAACAAGGTTTATATCTTTGAGCATGTAGCCAACATAATCGTTTTAATTAACCGCTGGACGTAACACAAAGGAATCCAACTCAGTACCGATGACAATATATTACTGTTTCAATTTTGTTGATATTATCCAACTGTTCAAATGAAAGTAATATAAGTAAATTTTCACCTGTAATCTGATAATGAAAAATAAAGCTTCATGAGAAAGAGCTAAAATTCCACTTTAAAAAATCTATAAAAATATTCATACTGTAAAAACAAACAGATTTATATGAAACGCTTAATTTACCATATGATGATATAACAAATTGATAAGTCACATCTGACGCTGCTGAACTATATGGATCGAATAGAATTTGTATTCTCAGATTTGGTGATGATGTATGGACACCTTTACTTTGCATAGAAGCATAATTTGTACAATTAGCTTGAAACTGTATCAGATAAAGAAAATTAGAACATTGAAATGATACAAGAATGACTAAATATTCTACTTTAAGAACATTAATTAAGCTTTAGATAATCTAAATAATTTATTAGCTTGTCATAATATACAAACATCATAGTAAGTTTGTCAAACTGCTTAGATCAATGACATACGGTATCTGGTTACGGATACTATTACATATCTTCTTGAGTTGATCTTAAATAAGTCTGATGCACAGAAATCCCAAAACCTCTATCCATATTTGCACTTTTCTACACAAAAAACTGTTATCTTCCTCAGCTTTGAGAAACAATCACTCATAAATGTAAGAGATTCATTGAATTTGGTTTAGTAACATTAAAAGTGAACTTTACTTTCATTAGTAATCTATTCTACTCAATAAGCTATATTAAAAAATATATATACTGATTACCATCCTACAGCATGTTTGTGTACATAATACAGTAGTGTTATGATGAAATGGATGAGACCTATTTATTTAACTTTACGTTTAAAATTTACATTGTATGACTAAACCTATAAAGGCAATGGTGATTAAACACCTGGATCCTTCTTATCCCCTCCACCTTTAATGACCACGTTTCATAGCTTAACAGAAAAAAAGAGTGGACTGCTGCATAATATACTTGGCTTTTAATAGACATTTAGATATTTTGCCGGAGCTATAAGTGATGCAAGTTAAAAATAGCCAACTAGGCTTTTTGTTTCCACGTCAAGATTCGGTCAGTCACCGAACCCTTAAGGACTTCTTCATTAAATCATAAAGATGAAATTTCCGAGAAAAAACTTCCTTTTCGAAGATGTCACTTACGGAGGCTGTGAAATCATGCCTACAAATATGTATAAGTATGGGGAACTACAGCAATATTAGTGATCAATAGGGTTACGAGACAACTGTGATGTTTACTAGTACAGTAAAAAGTTGTTTTTGAAGAGAAAGGAATTACGTAACAATACATTATTAATAAGATTATGGTAGGAGAGATGGGACGTATTTCTTCCCCACACGAAGTTCAGGATTGAATTAGTGAATTACCAAAGCCTCTGTCGTCCCCATATTGTGAAATTGTAATTCTGTTGAATATTTTGACTCGGCTGTGTAGCAAAAGTAAAGGATGACTCCGGTGAAGTTTTGTGACCGGAGTTAGGGATATGTTTACGTATCGAGCTGCTTACTGAGTTGCACTTACCTCTTGGCAACCAAGTAGGATAATACTCTTTCTGAAGGTAGTTCAGATCACTATCTTATCATCAAACATATATGACTGTAAGCTTACGTAAATGACATCGACGAAACGGAAAGTTTTTTTCCGCTGAATTGTCTTCTTTAAATCCATTAAAGTTTCTTCAGCGTGAAAAATAAGTGAAAAGGTTAGCAAACTCAAACACATGACTCCCTATTGTTAAACGAGTTAGTGACAAAAACCAGATATGAAACAAGAACTTGCATTGAAGTCATGAGAAACAGATCGCAAACATTTAAAAACAAACTGCTACTCAACACATTTAAAAGACTGCTTGTTAGCAGCATCTTTACCTAAAAGAAAAGTATTGTCTGAATAGTCCTAATCAACTTTGGAATCTTGTGCTCCAAGACCAAGTCCTATGAAGTCAGTCAAGGAAAAAGAGACTTTTATTAACATGTCCATGACAAAGTTAAACAAGAATGGATATTTTGAACACCCTTAACGGACATAACGTAGAGAAAAACCCTGATACCTTACAGTAAGGTACAATACGCCCTCAAGTTTTCGAATATAGAACCTTCAACAGAGTGATGTACTTGTCGTCCATTTCATTTAGTGAGAGACATCGTCATAAGACATCAAGATCGATGGAGTCAGATGCCAAATTCAGATCAAGAAATACAGCGAGTGTCGGACACCAGTAACTGTGTGTGTGTTCCAAGATATGGTAGAAGGTAAAGACCGGGTCAACAAAATGCCAACCAGGTTTGAAACCTACTTGTTTTTCTCAGGTTTCCTGTTCTTAAGTTTTAATTAAGCGTCTAATGATTACAGAACCTAAAATCCACCACACTATGTTTTTCATGCCGATTACTTTGTCGCAATGATGGAAGACGCTTTTCCAATTTCAAAAACTGAGAATCAGTGGTGTAGAATAAAAAGGGGGATTAATATTAGATCCTCACATGCCAGCCAGCAGTGCAGTAAGCTCGGAAAATTGTTGTGAAACACCTCTGGAGTAAGTCAATCAAGATATGTCTTTCTTCTGCGTTTCCAGTCGCTTACAGCCTTCTCAACATTTAGAAAAGTTAGAGCACCTATCTCGGTTTTGTATTCAAGATCCGATTGAATATGAGGCAAAGAAATAGTAGCTGAAGGCTAGTTGAATTGTTGCTCGAAGTTTTTCGCCTATCGTTCCAGTCATCTTTCCCATGAGTGAGTCGCAGAGTCATCTATTTCTACTAGTCTCACTTTCCCACTGACTTTTCATCTCTTTTCTTAATAAGTCTAAATGACTATTTACCACTGTGAATCGTCGCTGTCTCCTCCATCACTTTCTAACACTATTCACAGAGATGGCAAAAAGTCTTTATCAGCTTACACTTGAGTTGTTTACGATACTCAACTTACTTGGAGTCTGCGGTGATGCGTTCACGCGCATCCGTTAGTTAAGAAGAGGCTTCTGAGGTCTACTGACCATTTTTTATTTTCTCTGTGAGTTGTTTACGGTCTTTAACGCTGTTTCTACACCACACTTAAGATGGTGCCAGTTTTCCTCAGCACTGGTGACGTTGTTCTGCCCAAATAACTGTCTAGCCAGTTTCCTGCTGAAATCAGCCTTAGTATTTCCATAGTCCAGCTGCACTCAGAAATGTCTTATTGCTAGAGTTTTTCTAAGTCCATTTAAGTTCAGACATTTGTGATCACTGTCAAAAGGCGTACTCCAAAAGGAGCTGCAACCTTCCATCGACAACCACCAGTGATAACTGATGGGAGTATGATTTATGTGTGTCCATCGTCGGGCTGAAGAGAGTAAATGCCACAACAGACTATGCTTCTCTTTATGTCTAAAGTCTGCGCTGGTCAAAAAGATGGTTAACTGAACACAATTGTAGTAGGCGTTTAATATTAATATTAATTGGTTCAGAATTAATACTTTGTTGGGATCCTTGTCTTTTTCACCTTGTTTTCATCACTCAAGTGGACATTTAGCGATTTTACTTTACTTCTAGAAACAACCATCACCTTACCAAATTCTTTACGTTCTCAACGACTTTTATTATTACATGTATTATTGTGTAATTTCTTCCCGTTTTCAAAAATTTTTTCTTCTACTCTTGGGAATTATGAATGGAATATATTTGCGAAATCCCAATCGGGTGGAAAAACAAATTTCTGATGTTTCACGATTTCATGGAGATCGCTTCTTCTTATAGTGATATGGTTACCCACACCCTATCGAATAGTTATGAACTTTTATTTTTTACCAATATTCATAGGTACAATTTTATAACTTTAGTAAATGACATCTTCGACCAGGACAATTTTCTTCTCTGAATTGTCTTCTTTACAAATCCAAAGGTAAATTTACAAATTGCTCCTCATCTTCTTATGGAAATAAAAGATAAACAACTGACTCACAATTAATTTGGTATCTGCAGGAACAGTCATTGGTATAAGCATATTTGCATCGCTGTTATCAATTATTTCATTTCTTACAGACGTGAACTCATTGATCTGTATTATAGGACAACTACCAAATTGACGAGGTAGTTCTAATTTTGTGGGATAAATGCTTAAATATTGATTTGTATCCGATGGTTGAAAATAACATAGAGTCCTACCAATTGCACGGGTATGGGAAATAACTGCACCATAGATGATAAACGGCTTCTCTGGTAATCCAAAACAATCTTGTGTATCGACTAAATTGAAAGACAACAATAGGATAACTAGAAAACTAACAAAAAAATAAAGATTTTTGACAATATTCAGTAATGGTTGTCAATTGAAACCAAAATGAGCTTTGTACGCTGATTTAGGTCGGACCAAATGAATGCTGACGCAATTACTTGTATTCTTACAATGACCTATTATGTGGTTGTTCATTCTACCTATTATTATTATTAATCCCTTGGGTTCCTAATGGAACATAGGGCTTCAGTAGCATGTCTCCAGTGAACTCTGTTTTCTGAGATCTTTTGAACCTGGTTCCACAACAGCCCAGAAGCTCTCATTTCCTCCTCGCACAACCTCTTCCATGTCACCCTCGGACGTCCAACTGGTCGCTTCCCATGGGGATTCCACTCGAGTACCTGGCCTGACGTGTGATGTCACCAGTAGGCCTTCTCAGTGCATGCCCAATCCATCTCCACTTCTTCCTGCATATTTGTTGGGTGATAGGTTCTTGGTTGGTTCGTTCCCAGAGCTCCATGTTGCTTATTCCGACTATTCTGGCCATCTGATCTTCAGTAGCGAGCGTAAGCAGTTGTTGATGAATGTCTGTAGTTTATTGAAAATCCCTTTCGTAACGCGCCAAGTCTCTGAACCATACAGAAGCACTGAATTGACATTGGTGTTGAACATCCGTATCTTGTTCCGCATGCTGAGTGCAGAAGATCTCCACACTGGTTTCAGGCTAACGAACGCCTGTCTTGCTTCTCCGATTCTGACTTTGACGTCCTCGTCCGTCCCGCCTGTAGTCGAAACTGTACTTCCTAGATAGGTGAAGGAGGTCACTTCCTTTAAGTTTCTCCCGTTGGTGGTGACTGGAGTTTGTTGTTGTTGTTGGTGGTGGTGGTGCTGTATCTTCATCACTTCTGTCTTCTCTATGTTCACCTGAAGTCCCGTCTTCGCTGCCTCGCCTCTTTTGTGAACTTGTTAGTTTTTGCCTGCAGATCTTCAAGTTTATGTGACATCAGACACAAGTTATCACAGGAGAAATCCAAGTCTTCTAGGTTCTTTTCCGTAGTCCAGTGTATCCCCCTCTTCTCGCTGCCCACTGTTTGCTGCATGATCCAGTCCACCACAATCAGGAATATCATGGGAGATAGTAGGCAACCTTGTTTCACTCCTGTCTTCACTTCAAAGGCATCATTGAGCTTCCCATTGTGAATTACTTGGTTGGCATGTGGCATCTTCATATAGTTGTTGAATGAGGTGGATAAAGGTTTGTGGTACTCCGTAGTAATGAAGCAGTTTCCAAATTGCTTCTCGGTCGACGCTGTCAAAGGCCTTCTCAAAGTCGATGAAGTTGAGGTAGAGAGCTGATTGCCATTATATGCTCTGTTCTGTGATGATGCGAAGCGTTGCAATTTGGTCCGCACATGATTTGTACTTCCTGAAGCCTGCCTGTTCCGGTCGCAGTTTTGAATCCAGTGCATCCTTAAGCCTCTCCAGGATGATGCGGCTTAATATTTTGCTTGCTTTGGGTGGACAGGAGAGTGGTTCCGCGCCAGTTCTTGCAAACACTGAGGTCTCCCTTCTTTGGGAGTTTGACAAGGTAACCCTTCTTCCAATCGCCAGGTACCTTCTCTTCCTTCCACACCTTCTGCAATAGTGGTGTGAGCATCTCCGCTGTTGTTTCTGAGTCTGTTCTCAGTGCTTCTGGCGGTATCCCGTCTGGTCCTGTTGCTTTCCCGCATTTCTCTAGCTTTATGGCGTTCAGGACTTCCATTTTTGTTGGAGGATTTGTGTTAACTTGCAGTTCTGTGGCTGCAGGTGGTATTTCTGGACGAAGTGCAGGTGGTGGTGGTGGTCGATTCAAGAGCTTCTTGAAGTGGTTGGCCCTTTGTTTCCTTTGTTTCTCTTCTTTAGTAATTAGATTTCCGTCATCATCTTTTATTGGCTTCGTCTGCGTTGATCTCTTCCCTGATAGCAACCTGGTTATTTGATACAATGTCGTCAAGTCTCTCTTACCTGCAGCCTGTTCTGCTTCACTTGCCAGTGTTTCGTAAAACTGTCTTTTGTCTCTCCGTGCAATCTTCTTCACTTCTTTATCCAGTGTTTTATACATTGTGCTCAGTTCCTCTTGTCGTTGAGCATCCTTGCACTGGTTTATCTTCTGCTTCACCATCCTCCTCTCCTCTATCAGCTTCCAGGTATCCATCGAGATCCATTCTGTCTTGTCTTCTTTCTTCTTCCTTCCTAATACGGCTGTGCAGGTTTCTTTCCACATCTCTTCCAAAGACTTCCAGTGTTCTTACACACAAGTTTCTTCACAGATGTTCCTCGATATCTCCCATTTTGTCTTGATGGCTGACGTGAAGATTTCCTTTGTAGTTTCATCCTTCAGTTTACGAGTGTTGTACTTGAACTGTGATCTGTCGTCACCAGCTTCATTGAAGGCTTTTAACTTGATTTGGAAGGTTCCTTGCACTAGATGGTGAGTGGTCTGAACCTACATCTGCTCCTCTTCTTCACCTTGTGTCAAGTAGGCTGACTGCGTCTCCATTTTCTTGAGGTTGAGATAAAGTCGATTCGATTTTTAGTGTGTCCATCTGGTGAAATCCATGTCGCTTTGTGGATATCCTTGTGCTTGAACACTGCCTAGCCTCCAATCACCAAATCGTTGAATGCGCAGAATTCTGCAAACAATTCTACATTCTCGTTCATCACCTCACCGAGCGCTTCTCGACCCATGGTTAGTTCTCTTCCTGTGTTGTCCCCTCGCAGTTTGGCATTCGTGTCGTCCATTAGAATTTTGATATCGCCAACTGGGGTCTTGTCCAGTGTCGGTTGAAGTTGTCTGTAGAATTCCTCCTTTTTCTCTTGCTCTGGATTATTTGTAGGTGCATAGCATTGTATGATTGTGACTTCCCTTCCTTCCTTTTGAGTTGAACCTTGTTGTCATGACTCTGATCCTGGAGGAGATTGGTTCCCACTGCATGAGAGCCTTCGATGCTCTTGGGGACATCATGATAGCCACTCCAAACTCAGTGTGCTCGTGGTTGTCTTGTAGGTGACAATATCAGAGTAGATTATTGATTCTCCAGTTGACAGTTTGGAGAGTCCACTCCCATTCCATCTGCTTTCGCAAATTCCAAGCACTTCAATGTGATACCTTCTCATCTCATTTGCAATCTGGGCTGCCTTGCTGGGTTCACACATGGTGCGGACATTTCATGTCCCCACGTTTACTTTTGCTTTCATCGAGGAAGAGAAGACACATTGGCCCAGCCAATTGGCTTCCCGAAGGCAGGCTTTTACCAACTGGCGTCATTTCGCCTCTGCGATTCCAGCGGGGAATAATTTTGTTTTTATTTTTTATATTTTGTTTGTGCTTTGAAGTTTCTTTAGCGGTTAGATTTGTTTTACGGGGTAGGGTTGCTAGCCCTATGCCCAGCCTTCCCTCTTTACCCGGGCTTAGGACCTGCTAGTAACTAGTGAACTAGTTAACCAGGAGAGGTTGTTCATCCTACCTACTAAATGTATATCAATGGTACAGAATATTTAGCCTAGTTCCTACTTAGAAATGCTAGGCAGTCGTTGTATCTTTGTTCATAACTCTTTGGCAATGCGTGTTTCAGTAACTCAAGCACATTTGACGGTTTTCAGATGCCCATAAATGACTTTTGTCGAAGAACAAGTAATGGTAGAGGAGTTAGTTATGTTGAAGAACTCTTAGTCAAATATCAAAACTCAGAGGAAATAAAAACGTGTCATGCTATTTTTCACCGCTAAAAACTGCGAACAATGCATTTAGTCGTTCACATGTTCAAGATTTGAATGCCATCATTACTTTAAAAACATGTATCTACTTGAAGCACTAACACGTTGAAGACTTGAGAATCTTATATTCAAATCAATAAAAGTCTTGTTGAAGTTACTATGTTGTAAAAGGACTGGTAGAGAAAAATTTAGAACTCAGGGAAGTTTATTCCAATGAATTATAGCATACACGTTTTACAGACATTTAGCTCAGTAGCCATTTTACAGTGTTGCTTTGCCGTTCTGTTAATAAGTTTGGTTTAGACTCGTCATGACAGTTTGCCAATTAAAAGCATAGAATATTCTTTTCGGATAAATGTCTTACTGCTGAGTTGTCTGCCTGTGAAACAGCTTAGGTTGGCAGATTGGTTTCGATTTGAAAGGATGATGGCTGTAGTTGAAATAAATTCCTAAAAACTGTGGCACTTTTCTGTTTCTTCAGCCAACATTCTTTTACAATAAGAGCAATGGTTCAATTAAGGCTGTTGCATAAAGTCACATCAACAAACAATCAATGCATATCACTTATTTAGTCGGCTCTACTTGGATTAAATCAAGAATACCTAAGTAAACAGCTAGTATGATGGTAAACGGAAATTTATGAACCCAGTCAAAGAACCTATGTGAAACACTGACTGGCTAGAATGAAAAAAATACCTGGTTAGTATTTTTGTTTCGTGGCTGTGAAAAAACCAGTTGATAGATTCACCACTCAGTTTATACTTGCATTATAATCTTGTAATTTGCATTGGTGAATGAATGAGTCACGGTTTGTAAATTATTCCAAATGTAGTTGTTCGATACTTGTAATTTCCCGTTCATATATATATGACCGAATTGCTCGACCTCTGTTGGCAGATAAGCTGCCTCTGCAGATGCCTCGATACTGTCGGATATTTATAATGTTACATATACCTTAGTGACTGGAAGTGGAGTACAGGATCCACGTTTTGTCCCATTTGGAACTCGTCAGCTGCATGTACCCCAGTAAGTGATGTTGTCCCCATTAACACTCAAACCCAGTGCTCACAGCTCCAAACGCCAAAGCCTTGTTTAGCAGGCCACTGGGATGCGATAGCTACCAGTTGTGGAGCGTTTATCATCTGTCGTTGTTTGATACTTGTAATTTAGGAACAAGATCATTTCCTGGGTGCAGATGCATTCAGCTGACGAGTTCCAAATAGGACGAAGCATGAAACCTGGATTTCACTGCCAGCCACCACTAAGCAAACTAAGACGAAAGATTGGTAATTACTGTCAAATCAAAAGCTACTTAACACTTGCTTCTCGTAACCTGATTGTTGGTTATTTGAATTCTGTGATCATTCGTCTCTCTTTCAATGCCAACTATAATCCCAGTATACACAAATCTATTCGCAAGACCAAAGCTACCTCAGAAACTACAATCAAGCACGCCCCGGTGCAACAAACACCATTAAAAAATGACCATCTAGCTCATTAACGAGTTATGGGCACTATGCACATTTTATTTTGTAACGCACAAAAACAAAGAAGACATTTATTTGAAAACAAAATGTCTGGTATTACACCATACGAGTCAATTAGTAGAAAGCTCTGTATCTAGGTTCATGCTCATTGAAACTCATCAGCAGGGTGCACCGTGGGTTTTTAGGGAATTTCACACACGCCTGAAGATAAATAACATGGATTTCTTCGAGATTTAAGATGTAACTTGTTGCTAATTGTCGACAAGCACGAACCTAAGTTCAGGGGCTTTTGACAACTGATACACGTTAACCAACATAGTGCATCGCAGTGCAGTGTTGCTTGGTCTACTGAGGACACTAAGAACTTGATCTATAAACGCTTATCAATACTGGGAGAATAAAACTCAACGGGTATATCTGCTCCTATCTGATGAAGAATCTGTGAAAAAGTTTTCGCTAAGAATTCCAAAACTATTCTTCCTCTCTGATATGTGGAAAAATTTCTCAATCTAAAGTCAGTAGTAAACGACATACCAGTTTGAAGTCTCAGCGAAATCCAAATTTTCAGGCTGCTAAAGGCTGATAGTTTTTCAAACACTTAACAGGCAGCTAGGAGGTGATAGAACCAAGATAGAATAAAGAGCATTGCCAGTAATGAAAATAAGTGAGAAAGGTATGACTGAGGATTCCCACTTGCATGAAGTACTTGTATGATAAAAACGCCCAGATATTTTACAGTTTATACATTATGACATGCATGTCAAAAATAGGTTTCCAAGAAAATTATTACTTTATATTTTATTGAAAGAGGAAATGACCTGAAATCTTTGGGGCTTTAATAGCACGACGTTATAGAACATGCATGTCGTATCTGCTGTCGAATCAATTAAAAATAGGATAATGGCGCAAGTTTAAAATTACAGCTTCATGAAATTTAGTTGAGTGCATAAAGATAGGTAGTATTGGCAAGCTTACGATATAAGCATAACTCACTAAAAGTATGTAAACCTGTGGCCGATTTCCCAGCTATATTATTTTGGAAACTTGTGTACAACAATGGCAAATTTCAACTGCATTAGGTTTAGACAATTCCCATAACTCCATCGGAAACCTATAACGCCTGGAAGAGGTTACAATGAAAATTGTATTTCTATCAGCTATATGTAGTATTTCTACAGAAGAATTACAATTGAAGTCATATCCTTGCTAGGAAGGGGGGTTGATTTAGTGAGATAATTGTGGTTTGTGAAATATTAAGTTTAATTGGTAAACATTATGTTGCCTAAGGTTGTGAAAATATATCTTAACAAACAGCTTTTTTGAATGACTGTTTGGAAAGACAACGTTCCATCTAAATTCAAGCAGAAGTACGCACAAAATCATTCCAAACTCAAACCAAGAGGTTATAAGCAAGAAACATGTATATAACATACTTTTCTCCCCTAATATATACAGTATGAAATATAAGCGCTTTAATCTTCATCGAAACTACAATAAAACAAGCAGAGAATTTATCGTCAAAAATGAACTTGCTTTTCATCGTTTTCGTTTCTCCTGAACGAAAATAAAACAGGAGTGCACAAAAATAAGTGAAAAAGGTAATGTCCATATTTCAGAGTTAAGTAAATATCCCCTCACTAATGACTGTTGATGCAAACTTTCGCCACAGAAGTCTATAAAAAAAGAAGAAAAATAAACAAAACTGAAGTGCAATCCACAAACGTTCTTTTAGACGTCAAGGGGAAAGGACGAAAGAGAGCTTGAATCAACTTTTCCCAAATAAAGTACACATTTTGTAAATTACAAACGTAGATCTATCTTTTGTTAACATAAATATGGGCAGCATTTGTATTTCAAGCCCAAAACCCAAAGATTTTGTGTTTTCATCTCGTCAGAATGTTTAAATATAATGGCAACAGTATGCATGTTATTTTGAAATCAAACTACCTGTGTTTGGAGGTGATGGAAATCGATAGGTGAAGTCATGATGAAACATCACTTTTGTTTGCTCAATCTTATCTTTTGAAGATTACTTTGTAAGTCTGCATGAATGTTCCTGTTCGGGTTTGCATCCATTTATAAGTCATAATTCCTTAAGGTGGTATTCGAGAGGTCATGCAACTTATTGGCCTCAGATATTACAAGATCTGGACCAGAATCGAAGTAGGGATTCACTTACACTTTCTGCGCATACTAAATTTGAACATGTCAATAAAAGAGGTGTAAGCAACTCGGAATTCTCTAAAAACTATCTTTTCCTTGATGATTATTGCATCATTACTCATCTTCATTGTTGTCACCACATGTTTTACACTTCTTATCGTTCACATCATACAAAAATGTTTTTGAAGTAAACAGATATATCTACCAACGAGAAACACTTGCCAAATTTAAAATGTAAACCAAAATCAGTAGCTTCTAATAGTGAAACTCTACCAATACATGGAAGGGTCTAAAATAATGTCTCACCCATCAGTTAGGGACTATACATCCTCTGTTTTCCTGTTATGAGCAAATTGAACATAGGAAGATAACTAAAATGAGAAAATATTTTGGGGACAGCTAAATCTTAGTGTTTATTTTTCTAATGGACACTACGGAGACTAAGAGGTTCACTTGATCCGCTTCAACCAAAACCTTGCAAGCTAAAGAAGGAATCATTTGGCAGATATACAATCGATGTATACCGTTCACAACTGGAAACTTGCAACTTGTCTCTGACAAGAACGTCATCAAGTGGTCAGAAAATGAAATAGAAAAGTAAGTTCAGAAAAATTGTTGACATCCCGCTACAGATTTATATTCTGTAGGCCTGACTACTACAATGATCACGCTTTAGTATGGAACCGTACATAGTGGGTAGCATAGATGTCTAAACAAAATATCTACCTCACCTAAGTAAAACCAAGCTAAACATCATTTGATGGATTAGAGCTAAAATAACTAAATTCTTAACTTGAAATTATCCAGAAAATAAATATTTTAGTGCACTGGGTTTCGGGCCATATTGATGGCAATACTTAATTGTCAAGACTGATGTGTCGGGTATGTTTCAAACTTACGATTCATTGATAGATAGCTGACTGGCTAAACCAATGAGACACAGAACTATGGTCGTGTTCGTAGGATTAACTGATCAGTTTATGATCATTTGCAAAATATTACAATCATGAAAAGTGGGGTGAAACATGAGCCATCACTTCTAAATCTATTGCCCATACATCAGTAAACAGACGTACTTCAACTGTGCTTCTCAATGATCAAACAGTGACTAAGAAGCACAAAGATTTAGACATAAGGGACAGGAACCAGCTAATATCTCGGCATGCTTCAAACTGAGTGTAAATTGCACACGAATAAGAGTATTCGAGGGGAGCGGTGGGGTTACCAACTATTTTATTGCCAGATTAACCTGCAAAAATTACAATATAAATATGGATCTATACTCGAGTTGTAAATACAATTTAAAGTCGATTCTGCAAAACTGTTTTATTCCAGTGCCCCGATCACAATAAGACTTGAAATGTCTTTGAAGTATAAAAATTATACATGTGTAGCGGCGAATAACTTCCAAAAATCAGTAACCTAGGGTTTGATGAGATTCAGTAGTAATGCCGACTTTCACAGTTCTACGAATTTGCTAACTTGAAGGCAAATAGTCAAGCACCTATGCCATTTTAGACGTTGTTGTGTTACGTTACGCTGCTCATGTGCGGTTTTCTAGCCAGCTAGTCAAAACACATCAATATTTTGGCACGCTCTGTCAAATAGATTATTCCGCCTGGCTACTGTATGGTGTTCTTTCTTGATCTCGCAGTCTTGAGTATTTTAAAAGTAAAAATAATCAGTAATTAGCCTCCACATTTGTCAAAACCATGCAAGGTCAATCCCTAAATCTGAAATTTTTTTCTTTGTGGCCACATGTCAAATATTCAGAAACGAGTACAGTAAGATAAACCCTTTCTGTCACGTATAAATAAAGATACCACTACAAAAGGTCATTTTCTTATATTAGGATAAGTAATTAAACTTAAAATACCTCAGATCACGGAAGTATTCGTATCAGAAATCCTGTGACCAGCTTCTCAACGACTTTTCCCGGTGAAATACCAAAATCTTTCAGTGAATGAAATAGTGGCATTCAAAGATTGTCAAGCATAGGTACAGGTAATGTTTATATATATATATATATATATCGCAATCAAATAAGATGTTACACTTGGTTTCCAGTAACCTTTTTCGTCCACACTCTGAAGAATGAGAAACCAGTAGTACGTCACAAAAATTCTGTTTCAAGTGATAATATAGGTTTTTCTATTGAAAAGTAGAACATACGTAGCGTACCGTACTGCATATCGATGACCATGCATGTTGTAGCGTCCCACACTTCCCCGGAATCAATAACCTAGGGTTCGAAGAGATCCAACATTCATGCTGAGCTTCATAGTCTAACTGGACTCCCTAAGCTGAAACCACCTGGTCAAGCATCCACACCATTTGACACACTATCGTGTTACTTTGTACTGCTCGTAATCGATAATCTAGCTAGTTAGCTGGAACGCATTGGTATCTTAGCACGACCCCGCAAGTATACTGCTCCATCTGACTACGTTATTGTGTTCTTCCTTGGTTTCGTATTCCTGGGTACGTCTGCTAGGTTCTCAACAGGACAATCCTAAAATGTAAACCCAAAACTGATAATTGAAGGACGAAAACGGGAAAACGTAACGAAAAGCTGGAACTTTCTGCACTAGAAATTTCCTGAACGCTCTATTTACTCTTTGGCATCATATTATTTTTTCTTCCTCCCCCCTCCCCTATTATTTTCCCTATGCTATTAGTGATGCAGCATGGATTGATGTTTATCAAGAAATCATTGTGGAAATTCACATAAAACAATGATATATAAACATCATAACTACAATGGCAAACTTTACGAGAAGTTGGATATACACTATGCTAAACTGTTTTCGTAACAGCGGAAAAGCGAGATTGAATAGCCTGTATTTACAAAGCATAATGTGCAACTGATTTAAACAATCAAGGTCATTTCACCTAGAAATTCTTGGCATATTAAAAGAACTTTATAATAAAGAAGAGATCATGTTAAGTTGTTATACAGTGGTCTGACGATCAATGAATGTGCATGTGAACTCAGAAACAGGATATGAATTACTTTTCCTACACATTACGAAGCTCTTAATAACCCATAACCGTAACTGCTGAAGTTCGTCGAGCCATTGTACTTTGTTGTTTACCAAAACAGAAATAAGTAACATGCATAAAGTCTGGTTCACGTTCGTGTTAATGATCTGTTCCAGTTTTGCAAGTAAACATATTATTGACATTCCCATAAACAGTACCCAGAAAACAGATTATTACCAATGACTAGTGACGTAATCTAGCTTCTCGGCTTCCCTTATTTGATCGTGGAAGTTATGTTGATAATTCTTCAATGCTGTGCACATTGTGAAATTCAGTGAATCTTTCTGAACATTACAACGATTCTACGATCGTAATGCATGTTTGTGATTCGAACGAAAGTTCGAAATGAAGTAAGCCGACTGACTACTTGTCTAAGTCTTGCTCCTTTCCAGTAAGCTCTAACCGAATACTGTGTCAAAATTCTTGAGTAGAGATCACAAAACAACCGTTTCGATATAGGAGAGTAATCAAAGTTGTTCGGCTTCAATTTGCTCCGTGCAGATTTTTTCAGCTGTTTGTGCAGCTATCCCATTAATTGTTATTAAATTTCCACTGAAGGACATTCTGTATGCTGGTATTGTATGTTGGCCAACCCACTTAATTACACCTCTTTAAACTATGTGCAGCTTATTTTCTGGTTCCTTTGTTGTTATCATATAGCATACAGAGCATTTACTAGGTGGCTCCTAGCTATGAACTGTTAGTGTAAAATCAGGAGATCAACAGAAGGTTTGTCCATGTCACGCTACTTTTAAGTCTAGAACTACCGATATTCCAACTGCAAGTGCATTGGCACTTCTCTGGTGCAATATGCGCACGAACGTTGACAAGTCAAAATTGCTAGTTAAACATAAAACGCCACCGCTAATAAGTGACCGCATTTCTCACAACTCTGATCAAATCGCTCCCAGCTACAGCCTGACACTTAAGTCGCTCTTCTGTGTAGCAAATCACCTTATCCCAAGATTACTAGGCAGCTTCAAGCCAGGAGTCACTGGATTAGGTAGTTTGACTCAACATCCCTTACCAAGCGCAACGGTGATCATTCGGTCGTCGAACAACTTCCTTCTGAACCTACTTTTGTTGACCATTATGATGATCCCGAAGTGTTTGCCAAAGCAGTCACCGCCCACATAAACACGGAATCGGAAATCGTTTGCATGGAAAACCTATTATTCAATTGGTGAGCCAAGTTATCGTCAAATGCCTGCTCTGAATCCCTTTAGAGCCGGTTAAGTGGCCACTACACTCATTTCACCACTGAATTTAACCACCATGACTATGTAACGCGTATTCTTGAACCGAATAAAGGCTTACAATTCTTGGCAGCTTCAAGAGTTGGTAGCGCCTTTACGAAGTCATGTGGTGCAGTTGGCCTCCATTGTTGTGTTGAACGTGCCTACAAAAAGCCTCCTGGAACCGAAAGGCATCATGCTTCCTTTGCACCCGCCAGTCTAGCATCTACGCCATACAGTGACATTAAAAATGAGGACACCTTGATCCATGATCTTAGTTTATGTGAGTCTAAAGGGTACCACATGACGACGAATTACTTCAGTAATTCAATCTCTTTTTCCCACTCATCTGCTTCACTTAAGGTCCATGTCGGATCTGTTGATATGCCTAACTCCGCCGTTTCCCTGTCCAACTGCCCCATAGCACTTCCATTCAATATTAGCACAAATCATTTACCCAATACCACGCAACATACCTGCAGCCACCAATCTGTGCTTCCTAACGACATAAGCGAGTTGTTCTTTTAAGATATCCGTGGGTGCTTTCAACTGTTAGGGCGATCATTTTCTGTGTGCCTAACAAATGCTCGCCCAACCCGTAATAAGATGTCCAGTTTGACCTTATTTGCATGTCATGCTCCTCTTCAATCACTACGATTACTGAGGCGTGGAGCACCCGAGATATATCTGGCTTGAGCTTTTGCCTTGGTGGCTACACGCTTTTTCATGGTGGTAGGATAAATGGCCGTGAGGGTGATTGTCCCACATGTGGCAGTTCATCTACAGATTCAGCCCAGTGTGACATCCCGGAGCTAAGAATTAGAAGGTTTTGTCTGGGTTATTTTGGAGCCCGTAAGCTGCCTATCCTTTCTTTTTGGGTGCGCGTATCATTCTCCCAAGTCGACCTCCGAGTATGAAAACTTTTTGTCAGAAGCCCTCAGGTTTATTGCCCCTATGTCATTTTCGGGTGATATTATATGCGGGTGCCTTAAGATGCCAGAAGTCTATTTGTAACTGAAAAAGGCTCCCAAACAACACAATTCTTTCGTTTTCCGCTTTGAGTATGATGGGTGGTTTCAATGTTTGCCAAGTCCAACTAGACTCCTCAGTGTTTTAGACTTAGGCTTCGCCAATAATTTCATTCCTTCTACGGCACGTGTCAACCATAGATTCCTGGGAAGTGACCACTATATAGTAGTTTTTGAGCCAAATTTTGAGTCTCCTGTTCACCCCAGAAGACAGCTAGTACACTGTAGAAACTACCATGGCTTTGGCTAGAGAAACCTCCCGTTTTTACTTATTCGTTTAGATTGGGGAGATCACTTCACCGGTACGCCTCTTGAAACGCCGGCAACCGTTCGTTATCGCAACTTGCGCAATAACCGTTACTGTTTTGCAGCAGAAAAATTACAAAATCTGTGAGCCCGAAAACGCCACCTATTCCAACTCCCCTTCAAGGTCAACTTCGGAAACATGCCATACGTTTTCGAAGGCAGCACGAATTTTCTTCACTAGTCACGATGTCTAACGTTTGTGTTTATGCTGATACTCTGCGTGTGCAGGAAGCCATAGGGCAGAAACGTCAAGCCCCATTTCCCGGCAATAAAGAATCTCTAACAAAAGCTCTCAAATTCAGGCTGAAATCAGCGGAATCCAAGATGATGAAATGTATTATGAGTAATGGTTAGGTGCACGATGGCCTTGGGCAAACTGTGGAGGTCTTCAGTAACCACTTAGCTGCCTTGATTGTGAATGGGAGTGATATGTTCCTGTCACAACGGTCAACAGTACCTTCCTCTTGGATCAAAAACGTGAAGTTTACGGAAAAAATATTTCTGCCGCGATCCACTGTCTAAAACTTCCTTTTACTGACTGTCCAGATGGGACACCTGCTGTTGTCCTTAAAAACAAAGGTGGAGGCGCACCTCTGTAGTTTCTGAAGTTGTTTTCCATGTCGCTCAATGGCTCATGCTACCTCCCTATCTGAAAAACTACCTGTCACCACCTCCCATAAATCCGGACCAACTGAACATTTAGATAACTACCATCCAACTAATCTCTCGTCGGTGGTCTTCAGACCGATGAAGAAAGTTATAAAGAATGGCGTCGTGGATTACCTGTTTGATAGCAGCTTATTATCGGCTTCGCGGCATGGTGTCCTAGAAAGCAGATCCTGCGACACCTTCACGCTAGATCGTCTTGAATATATAACATAAAGGCATGATCAAGACCTTTTTGTTGCTACTTCTTTTAACTTCAATAAGGCATTCTACAAAGCGCCTCACAAGGTTATTGACAATGAAGCTTGGGTAATTTGGTGTGGGAAGCCCCTTACATAACTGGTTAAAACAATTTTTTCATGAGCGCTCTCAGGTGGTTAGGTTAAACTTGCCACTCACACCCTCAACCAATTACAAGTGGTGTGGTACAGGGAAGTTTTATTGGTTCACTCCTCTTTCTCATGTATATTAATGATACACATTAAGTGGTTAGATGAGAAAAACCATATCTTTATGCCGACGACCTTAGGATTGTTTATAGCTTCCATTACTGTGCAATTACTGAAGGCCTTTCAGCAGCTCAGGCAGGTATAAAAAATATACCGGAGTGGAAGTCAGAGATGGTAACTTGGATCCAACCGTGAAAATGTGGAATTTTATACCTCGGAAAATATATTGTTCTAGCAGTATGCTATCCTAAGGAGATCACGAAATTCAAACGCTCAATAAGGCATTCAACATTCTGGTAACGTTAACTTCAGTGAGCATGGTACGTCTACCATCTCCAGAGCTAGATTATCAGGTTTTCTCCTGAAAACTTTCTTTAAAAAAGAAACCAAACTCTCTCTTTTTAGGTTTTGTGTTAGACTGATATTGGAATATGGCTCATTCCCTTTGTTCCAGCATTTTCATAATTGACGAATCAGGAGTTGAATATGTCCAAAGAAGTCGCACTAGGCGATTGCTGGGTAGCGGCGAAGATGTATATTACACAGATATATGCACTAAACCGTCTGTTGAACCGCTATGGAAACGGCATCTAAGTAAAAACTTATTTCCATTTACACTAAAGTTTCCACGGTCTGTCATACTGTCCCCCTCCACCTTCTTGAAGATTTACACTGGCATATGACTTTATAAATCATATACTGACGTCTGCGGTGGGCACATACAGTAAACGATTCAGCTGTGAACTCTGCTGGATATTAGAGCCTGATCTGGAACAGGCTTTCCGTGACCGTACCCAGCGACGCTTCAGTCTAAGTGGCTTGTCAACTTGCTTTTGGGGTCAGCTGATATCTGTAGTCTGTTTGTAGACAAACGCCTTATAACCGAAGCACTCAGAGATGGTTCTGTAGGACCCCAGTGTCTCCGAGGTAGTGGAACTGATCGTAATTTAAGGATAAATATAGGTGAGATCTCTTTCTAAGTATTGGCATGTGAATTAAATAGCTCGTAATTAGGAACAGTGCGAAGCCTGCGTATCTGGCACTTTCCCCTTCTTGTATAACCTGTATCATGGAAGTGTGGTAGCCTATACATGCTGAACAGTATGGTTGCCTGACTCCAA